TTGGGGGGGCTAAAGCCCCCCCCCCCCCCCCCCCCCCCCCCCGTAGAACCGCGCCTGAATGAACACCGCAATTGTGTATTTTCAAAAGGCAGACGCGTAGGTTTCTACTCTTTGTATCTGGGCACATAGGCCTATAGATTCTCACCTCCCTCTTCAGCTACATTGTATTTCGACTTTCTTAAAAAGAAAAATAGAGACTGTCAGCGAATCTCCGGGAGTTGAAATAAGGATCGTCCCCTCGATAGACCTCAGACTCAGTAAAGTTCAACATTGGGCTCTTTTTCAACAGCTGTTTTTGCGGAAACTTTACATCTGGATTTTTTAGAAGCACCTGATTTTGCCCAATTTTAGTAAAATATGTACCAAATTTTGCTAAAAAAGCAAGGTTATTTCATACAAATCTGATTTTTCATACAAATCTGATTTATCAAATTTTACTAATTATACAAGGTATACAATTTAAAATTTTTCATAAACATTTCTTTTTGCCCAATTTTGCTAGAAATACAAGGTTACGCCCTAACATTCTGCAATTGTCCAGAATCATCTGATTGTGTCCTATTTTGATTAAAAGAAATGCAAGGTTAACCCCTTACAATTGATTTTTTTTCATGAACATCTAATTTTCCCCAATCTTATTCAAAAAGCAAGGTTAACCCCTTACAATCTTCAATTTTCAAGAAACATTTGATTTTTTTCCGATTTTCGCTTTAAAAAAATGCGAGGTTAACCCCTTTCAATTTGAAATTTTTCGTAACATCTAACTTTGCAAAATTTCACTAAAAAAGCAAGGTTAGGCCAAAAAAAAGTCTCCGGTTTCTGGTATGGAGCTTGCCCAAAAAGTGGTGCGGCGACGCGACTTGTTTTTTTTTTTTTACCTGTTTTTTTTGCTTCAAATGTCGGCTGATGACTGCAAATGGTGCCCGACTAAACTTAGTGTAAATATTATGGGAGACCAGAGAGGCCACATAAAGCTTATTCTCGATCATAACCCCATCTAAAAACACGTTAAAATTTTGCAGCAGCAGGATTCCAGTCAAAGCAGTGAGTTTGGCGGTTTTGAGACATCATCGTTCATTGAAAATAAAAACTTTTTCATTTTGCCGACGCGCATGGCTACTGCGACGCGCGCGCATACCAGATACCGGAGACTTTTTTGGGGGCCTTAATCCCTTACATCTGAAATTTTTCGGAAACATCTGATTTTGCCCAATTTCGCTAAAATATGCAATGTTCACCCTTTATAATTTGAAATGTTTCATAAACATCTAACCCCATACAATCTGCAATTTTCCAGAAACATCTGATTTTTCCCGAAAAAAAAAAAATGCAAGGTTAACCCCTTACAATTTGATTTTTTTTTCATAAACATCTAATTTTGCCCAATTTTACATCAGCTTATGCTAACAAATTATCAGGTAACTGGATCATTAAACGGGACAGGTGCACATCGGCCTTGGAGCTCAGACCATGTGTCATGCACTCCTCAATAGATGATGCACATAACACTATGGGTAGTACAGGCACAGCTGGGGGTACTGCCCAAACAATGATGAACGCATTGCGTATGCTTAAAGAATTACCCACAATTCCGGTTTTTACCGTTTAGGTCTGGCTCTAATCACTTTACGCGATCCCCTGACGTCTCATACACTGACTTTAGGCAAAATAGTCAGACTTTCGCGGTCTAGTAACCAGACTTTGACTCTTAAAGAAACATCGAATGAAAAGGGAAATATTAAATGCATATTGCAAAAGATCGAATACAAACATATACCGATGATACATCGAATACAAATAGCTCGAAATGTCAAACATATGTGTGAAACATTGCTCACATATTTGAGAATATCGCAAATATATTGTAGAACAACACACACAATTGTATCGAAAAACATCGCACATTTAATGCAAACTTCGAACATATATTGAAAACATCGCACATATAGGCCTATATCGTCAAAAACATTGCACATATAAATTGAAAATCGCATATAAATGTAAAACATCGCACACATTATATTGAACATCGCACATATATTGTAAAACATCGCACAAATAAACATCGCGCAAATAATGAAAAACATCGCACACTTATATTGAACATCGCACATAAATGTAAAAGATAACAAACACATATTGAACATCCAACATATATATTGCAAAATATTGAATATTGCAACGTTTGACACGCCATACTGGAATGCGCCCACTTTGTTAATCGGAAAGAACATAAGCATCCACACAACTGATCCTTTAGAACCTTACCAGGATTCAAGATGGACTATTGATTCTACACATTTTTATGTTTTATATTGTCCTGGCGACGTGGTAAACACACCCGGGGCCATCTATCGCCAGATCCTAGTATGGACCATAGTACGTCCTTCAGAGGGGGTGTCAGTCTTGTGATCCTACTGGAGGGGTTGAAAATTGGCGGGAAAACCCTGTGTGCTTGTGCACATTTACATAGGCTTGTGTACAAATGCACTATAAACATTGGGATTATTTCGATCACCCCTGTGACCAAAATGGAATGTCAAATGGGTTAAGTCTGTGGTTTTAACGGCTGTTTGGGGCCTGAGAGATACTCCAGACATGCCAGAGGTTAATCAGGGGTGAATGAGCTGGTTGTGAGGGTTGGGTGGCTCAAATTACATGTTGTCATGGAAACATTCCATACAGTACCTGGATATTAAACATTAAAGGTGCTCGCTCCAGCAAAACTGGGCGTTTTGGGCTAGTCTTTGTGTTATGCGTGCGAGAACGACTTTCGGGGTCCCTTTTGCGACCCCAAAGTCGGGCTGTTTTTCATGCTAGTTGTGATTCCAGCTGAAAAAAGTTTTCGCCTTCTGCGGACGTGTAAGAAACATTATGTGTGCATTGGTGCTGTGTGTATTTCTGTGACTTACACAACGTGTATCGTACATTGACTGAAAACGACAGGGAAAACGTATGCGTACTCCGCCGTGTCCGATGTTAAACCTATGGTTAAACAACCGGGGTTGGTGTTTTTTTCGTCTTTTCTCGGAGTTTGGTTTCAACCAGATGTTTGAAATAAGATAATTAAACAATCCAAACCATGAACATTTCGGGGATTTCAGGACGCAGTATCCAAGATGCTAGTGATTGATAGTGGATCATTCCTTAATCTTTCACGTTCGTTTGACAGTAGTGCTTCATCTGACGTCATGATTAGACCAGCGCACCTGTTACTGTGTTAGTGCGAGAAAGTAGTCTCACACAAAAACAGTTATGCAAGGGCGGTCTTCAAACTGCAACCAACGCTCTCAATATCACTGACGTCTTGGGCCAAGACTACCCCCAACACATCACAATAATATTGTAAATTCCCCGATATGCCCACGTGATGCATGCTCTATTTAGAAATAATTCAAAAGTTGTTCCATCGAAATAAAATATGGCGGCTGTGCGTCAGTGTTGACTGATTTAAATCACGTTTATTTAAATCACTGATTTAAATCGCGATTTAAATCAATCAATTTTTCAATAAAAATCACTGATTTCAATCAGCTTGTAGTAAACATGTTATTTTTGGCAAAATAAATTGTATGAGGGTCATTTCAATCATTTAAATAAAATGACTCCACTTAATTACAAAACTACTTCATCAACATGACCTCAACTTAGGTTTTGCATAATTACACAAAATCATTGTTGATCATGTAAAAGTCAAGCTCCGAGTCAATGCAGTCTAAATAGATTTGTTTGAAGTTTGAATTCTGATTCTTGTAGAATATCAATTAATTGTTCAGTCAGCACACTCACTTTCTCTTTAATCATTCCATGATCTGTCTACAATAATAATATGAATCAACGATGCTGTTGTAGGCAACCAATTGGTAGTCTCATTTCCTAACTTTCCCCATACAAAATTAGATTTAGATTATACCTTGAAAGGTGCAAGGCCTGATATGAATGCATCATAATTATAATGTTCTCCCCTCGTGTGAAGGACCATTAATCAAACATTCTTTTCACCACTTTAACAAGAATTAGAGTCGTTTTGAAATTAGAAGCATTTTATTTTTAAATACTTGCCCAGGGAGATCTGTTGTTGGTGTATCACGTACCATAGCTAACACGTTTTTCATTTACATCCGCACACGCCGTACCTCAACGGTATCAATCAAGCCATACACCTTTAGAGTGTCTTCAGTATGTATGTACTACGGGCGTCGCCAGGATTTTTTTCCGGGGTGGCAAAATTCCTTAAATCTCTCAACATGTTCTCAATTTATCATTTTTTTTCCGAGCGTGGGCAGGGGAACATTTGCCCCCCCCCCAACCAAGTTAACAGCAATATGGCTTCGCACCTCTTTTTCATCCCCCCCCCCCTTTTCCAGGAGGTCCCCCCTTGTACCAATGAGGTTGACTGCATATGATACCACACTTATGTATATGAAATAAAGTGATTTTTTTTTTCAAATCACTGATTCAACACCGATTTTTTTTTTCAAAGGCATTTATCAATGTTAATATTCCATATTTGTCTGGAATTTTCCAATACTGTATGTAGTTTGATGGACGATGGGTATAGGAACCTGAAACCCCTTGTCGAAAAGGGTGTGTGGGAAGATTTAGACAAATTTTGAGACGATCACTATTTCGAAAGGTAAAAATATATAACAAAATCTGATTTACATTTTATAAAATTCGAATTTTTTTTTTATGTTACAAAAATTTAAAACAAATCACCAACCAGGCCTGCTGCGCGTCCATTATGTCGGCAGCGAGTGCACTCGCTATTTTTGTTTTTAATATCTATATAAATCTATGGGAAAGACAAAGTGTGGACTTTTCTCGCAATTTCTCAAATGTTATCAAGCAAGATGATGATATCACGTATTAGTTATAATGCCCGAAAAGAAAATCATAGAATCAAAAATATATTTTGTGGTAATCGTGTAAAAATTGTGATACCGTGACATTTCCTTAATGGATAAAATGTATTAACGTTCGTTTAGAGCCTCCGTAGCTATTTCGGCGGCAGCGCAGTTTTGTGCGGCCGCGGCATGCGCATGCATGAACTGATGACAGTCATGACAGCAATGGTTGGCGCAACTTTCAAGAATTAGTGACGTTGATCAACAAATTAATGGTATAAAATTTGCTTCTTGAAACCAATAGCTGAGTAACTGTTGACCATAGGAGGAATTTCGTTTTCTGTATTATAGTGTTTAGGCCTCCTTTCGGAAGAAATGTTGCAACCTGAAGCCACTTCCGCGATTGTGTACAAAGTCTATGGACTATATGGAGAGTCAAGAAAATTTGCTAAGTAACAATATTGGAAATGTTTCTCAGTCACAGATTCGTGTCTTATCATCATTTTTGCAATGTACTTTCTTCATGACTGTTCCTGTTGACAACCATTCAAACTCAATATCCAGGTGTCATGCCAAAAACTGTCCGGTGCCAATACTCAAAGTAACTTGGACCCAACTTTAGCACTAGCTGGAGTTACCCAGCCCTAAAGTTTTATCATTATTGGGTTGTCCTAAAAATGATAAAATTTAGGGCTGAGTAACTCCAGCTACTTTAGCACCAAACACAAGTGTCCTGTGTCTATTGTGCATGCTCAGCGAATGCTATTGGCACCGGACAGGTTTTGGCATGACACCGGCCAAAACTCACTGGGCCCCCAACCCCGGCCTGTGTTGTCTCTCATTGTGCAGACTGTGCTTAAGCGCAAATGACAGCATTGACCGGGAGACCAGGGAATGGGGATATGTTCATTGTGTGGACGTGTCCCAACCATTTTGGCCAGGATCGTAGGCCTAGACCCATAAACGTTGCGTCAATACAACACCTAGCCCCACTAGTGTGGCCGTCGGTATGCTGCGCTGAACCTAAGGCCACGCACAGTAGTGGTCCGCGCACTACTGAGGACGTTTTCATAAAATTTGCAGGGAATTTCTTACATATGGTTGTATTCTACGATGTCCCATCTATCACTTCTGGGATGCTTAGGTGTAATGATGTTCAATTTTCCGAGATATTCTTGAATCTTTCTGGAGCCCATATGCACTTGTGAAACGTCCGGTGATGGCAGCCATTTTGAATGTGACAAGAGATGACCTCAAGCTGTGACGTCGCGTTTATGCAAATTGCTTGTCGAGCGAGGGCGCGAGTTGCAAATGCGACGGCTGTTTCCTGTGCCGTAGATCCTGAATAGAGATCAGTGCACGTGGCCCCCAGACGATAAATGCACGGTACAGGAAACAGTGTGTGGCCTTAGGTTCAGCGCAGCATACCGACAGCCACACTAGTGGGGCTATACAACACCATGCTCCAGAGTTGCGTAGAAACACTCGACGCACGAGATTGTACGGGTACCCGGACGGCTTTTACCATTTTGCGTGTGCATGACTCGGTGTACCAGGGTACCGTGCGTTACCTCAAAAAATCACAAGTTCTGCTTGTACGTTTGTTGTTGTGTTGAGGTTGTTTTTACCCTTCAAATTTACAGATAGCTTCATATGTAAGTACATATTACTGGCAAAATGACGTGCTGCGTAAAAATATCGAGTGTTTTTACGAGAGGCTGAGCCGTGGCGTTGTTATTGACGCCAGGTTTACCAGTCTAAGCTAGGCCCTTTCAACTCAAGTAGGCTGCTCCAGTATAGTCCAGGTTGGACGACGTCCTCATTGCATTACAACAGAGGAGTCTAACCTGGGCCAGGCCTCTATATTGTGGCCTTGCACTGGAGTAAACTCTGTGCTAAGAGTCTACTCCAGTGCAAGGCATAGAATGTCTTTGCAAATGGTCAATTGTATGCATGTACATTTCTTTGCAACTAGGTTGGGTGGTTTGATATGAATAATAATTCTTTCAGGTGGCAATTGTTATCTCAATCACATGTTTAAATAAAAACATTGTTTGGATTATAACATACGTTTTGTATTTAGGTAGCCCCATTCTTTAAACTTCGTCCTCAAGGCGATATACACTGTAGCTCAAAATTTAGGGAAATTATGGCATTTTTTCATGTGAATCATTCGGCCTGAAACTCGGCATGTGGATTCACTTACCCAAGCATCCACTTATTCACCAATTTAGGACTTTGCCGTGGTTCCTTCTGCATGTTCTGGTGACATTTGTGTCTTAATTTGCATCAGTGCAAACAGCATTGACCTCCACTTGGGGTGGCAAATAACTACATGTAGACAAATTTCACCAGAAGAAACAATGGGGAAGTCCTTATTTTGGTGAAAAAGTGAGATGCTTGGGTATTAGTAAGTGAACCCACATGCCGAGTAGGCCTATCTAGCTGAATGATTTTCATGAAAGAATGCCATCATTTCCCCAACTTTTTGAGCTCATGTGGCTATGGTCTGGGAAAGGGACATTACTCCAGTGCCTGGCCAATAGAATAGAGCTCGTATTGAGGTTGTTCAAAAGTTTGTTTTCATGGGTTTCTGGACCCAAATCCAGTTTTCAAACTTTAAGTGGAATTACTGTGGGCTCCCATATATTTTGCACTAAATTTAGTCGGGCACCATTTGCAGACGGTGTTGTAATTTTTTAATTGTGCGTCTGGAAGCCAGGGGTGCGTTTTGGCGGTCATAACCAAGAATTGGTTCGGTGGTTTCTTGTTGGTGAATTTCTTCAGCAATTTTAATTGGGTTAGAATTACGCGTGATCATGTAGTACTCAAATCCCAAAAACAATTAACCAAAGAGAAACCACCGAACCAATTCTTGGTTATGACCGCCAAGAGCGGTGGTCGTGTATCTGAAACCTGTAAATGCTTTTTAATTAGCACAATATGTGAGGGAGCAGACTAATGACCAGCCTGGCAGCTCATGCACGATGTCAATATCGCTGTATGGTCTGACATTACCATTTTCTCTGATTTTTGTCTTGACTATCCAAATTTCCCGAAGAATGTTCGTGTCGGTCGAGATCGTAAGTGGGTGCAGAATTCTCAAGCCTTGTGGCCTTACTGAGGTCACCTCAAGCTCCACCCTGAAGGATATTTTTGAGAGTTTGAAGGGTATCGAAGCGTCATCTGCAACATCAGCCGACTTTTGAAAAAGAAAAAAAGAAGGGGGGAAAAACCTGCGTCACCGCACCACCTTTGGGGCAAGCTCCATACCAGAAACCGGAGACCTTTTTTTTGCCTTATACATGATGTTTTTTCCTGAGATTTACTATACCTGCAGAAGAAATACCAGCATACTGAATCTAGCCTTTCTGAATACTGAATCTAGTTATAAAATCAAATGTTCAACACTTAAGTCGCATGTGTCTGCGTTTCTGCTTCAACAGGTTTGATTTTGTCCAGTTTCTTCTGCATGTTAACATTGACATTGCTGGTCACCACACACCATGTCTAAGAGTAGCAGTAAGCAAAAGCTCCAAGATGAAGCCCCATCAGCCAAACGAGCTCGTCGTGGGACTCCTACTATGTCAAGTGATGACATTAGTGACAGTCAAGAGGAAAACCTGAGTCAAGTTGCTGATATTGAATTGAGTGTAAGAGATCATTAAGAATTTATGTTTCTGTTTGTTAATTGTTTCTTTGGTTCAATTTCACGTCTGCTTTTGTTAGTTTGTAAATACTGTAAATTCTCACAAGAATAATTGTCAATAGCAGATCTTCAAAATAGTAAATGTACATGTACTTTTTTGGTTCCCACTTGATCCCCATCCGTGCCAAAGACATTGACCTTTTATTCCCCGTAATTTTTCATGCTACATTGTACATGTACATTCATCATGAATTACGAAGCACCCAGAGTGAAGTCTATCAGCACAAATTTTAAATTGAAATGTAATAAAGCCCAATGATGATGTGGAATGAAATTAAGGTACGCATATGTTTCCAATGAATTTATATGATGCAAGTGTTAAATCTAAAAGGAAATCATAGAAATGATAACAAACTGATGTAAAAACGTCGGAGGTTGGACTAGACTGTTTTCCACCCCCCCCCCCCTTCAAAATATGGGGACCGGTAGCTAGTTCCCATTTAAAGCCATTGATGGGATCACCTGCATGCGTGTGCGCATCATGATTGTTTATTTTTGAATCGCTGTTCAGCTTTGTGCATGGACGGTGATTGAACAAACGATTATCAAAAAACTCACTCTTGCCTTACCACAAAAAGTACGCAAAATCATCAGTGTCTCCAAGAAGGTAACTTTCAAGCATTTCAACTGCACAGGTTTTAAATACTGAACAGTAATTTCCCTCTATTTGCTAGAGACAGTTTCAAATTCAGCAAAAATCGAAGCTCATCACCTCCGAAATTGTACATTCGTGGCGCGGCCTATTGCCATTTTATAATAGGCTGGTTGCAAGCAAACATTACCGTTGTGATTTTGAATTCAAGAGGCCGGATTCAGACCTACATGTACATGTATACACGTGTTGCATATAATTTGCATACATTAGGCGGAAAGACGCCCGGTGTATTTAGGATTCACTGCTAGCTACCTGTCCCCATATTTGAAGTCCGAAGGGACAGGGAACCAGACTAGAGGTTGGTCTTTCTTGTCTACAAGCATGTCAAGTATTCAATTAATAGTTGCTACGACTGAAGTGATGTAGCTCTCGATCCCTATTACATTATTTCTTCTGGTGTGTTGTCATGTACATGTAACATTTAAACAGTAACTTGCAAGTACATCAATCTGTGATTAATACACGTATAGTGTTAAAGAGATGCATAAGAAGGTTCTTGTAGATTATTTAAGGGGTTCAATTTTTGAGCCTCCCAGTTTTGATTGACTAAAACTAAATACCCATGTACATGTACAGTGATGTACCTGTTATGTTAAGTTGATACACATTGCAATCTGTATCAAAGGGAGAGAGAGTTGGACTAATTCATAAACAATTCTCACCATGTACTTATTGCAATTAACGTTTACAAAGTGATTACAACTATCTGTGAGGTTAACAATTTGTTTAATGTTTTTGTGTGTGTTTTTTTATAGCCTGAGGCTGAGTATGGCATCATTGAACATGTGAGTGTTAAAAACTTCATGTGCCACAAGCGTCTGGAATTCAACTTTGGCCCAAATGTCAACTTCATTGTGGGACGAAATGGAAGTAAGAAGATCACAAACATATTTATATGGTTGCATTTAGTCTTTGTTACAGATAATATCTAAGTCTCCATGACTATGACAGTTTACATTGTAAATTGTTCTATCGTGTGCTTGGATACTGTAATTTCATTGGCCTGGGGTGGCCACGTGTCTTTAGACAATAAAAATGCATGTCACACACTGAGGATGATATCGCACTGCGTTCAAAGGGCGTGTTTCACGTGTTTGCGGAACTAGCTTTACGCAATGAGAACTACAACGTCAAACATTTGGTCTCATGTCCGGCAGGACATTAAAACCAGTTATCAAAGGTTACATCGCAGTGATTTAATATATTTCTTACACAGTACATGTATGTTACAACCATTTATCTGTTTGAGTTATTGGCATGATATAACAAAACAATTTTTGACTGCTGTGATGTGGGATATGCCGTTTCTAACCCCCACAGGGTGTATAGCACCCTTGGCTTAGCCTCGGGTGCTATGCGCCCCTCGGGTGTTAAAAACGTCATATCCCACATCACAGCAGACAACAGTTGTTAAGTTCATGTATGACTGCCTTGTGATGTTAGTCTATCTTAGTGTGTAGTCCAAAATATGTACACCATGTCCTGTTTTACTATACTTCTGTGGGGCCTTATTGTTTCCCCTTTTTGTTCCTGTTGTTCAGACTTCTACGTTTTTGACATGTCCCACAAGGTTTGTACACAAAAACCCTCCAAGGACTTGGGCTCGGGGTCATTTTTATTGTAGGTAACCCATTGTCCTAAGTCATCAGATGAAAAGCATAACAAGATCATACGTGTGCATTATATTTTTCTTCATGTACACATGTATGATACTATGATACATTTTTTATTTGTCAATTTGTCTAGATGCTTCAGTAGAATCCCTAGCTCAATTGTTGACAGGAACACATAGGCAGTGCAAAGTGATGTTATATACAGTATGGTGATTTTCATACTTGGTCCATGATTTTCCGATGTTGGAAAAAGCAGATGCTCCATCTGTTTGCACACAGATTGGATGGGCGTACAAGCATTATATTCACTGTGTGGACTTCCGAACAAAAGAGGTCCACATAAACCAGGTAGCAGCGACGTTGTGTGAACTTGCCCACGTCCACACAGTGTTTCTGCCTGTCTGGAAAACAGGTTTAAAGGCATTTTTGGGTTAAGTTTATCAGTGGCAAAATAAAGAGAAACATTAAAGGGAGTTCACAGTGTGAGTAAAATGAGGTTTTTTTTCAGAGGCTTTTCTTAACTACACGAAAACAAAGGAATGTCCACACTAGGTATGTAGCGTAAACACATACGTGTTGACAGGGTGGTCCATATAAGTCACTTTTTTCCTCTCAAATCAACGCAATTTTATTGACAATGTGAAAATCAAGCAAATTGATTGATAATTCAGTCTTCAGATATGCCACATAGACCAGCTGCAAACATTCCAAAGCCTGGATGAGTGCTATGGAAGGAGAACGCGTTCAAAGAAAACCATCTCACTGGAAAGCATTGGCAGTGGCAGTATGGTCTGCCACGGTCAGAGATGTGACAGGGTCCTGCAAAGGGTCTGTAACGTCTCTACCAAGTCTATGTCAACGTGGACAATACCTCAAAATTTCAACTAAAACTTTGATTCAAGGAAAAATGACTATCCTACTTTTGTTAGATTTGATTTCAAGTTAAATGAACAAAAAGAATTGTGCAAATTGCTTTTAAAAAGTTCAGACTATAAAAAGAAATGCGGAAGAAGTAGGCTATTCCATGCTAAAAAAAAGGCTGCATACACATGTATATATTTACAGTTTTCGAATCACTAGAGAGCTAACGTATTGTGCTCAATGTTCACTTAACATGATGGGCGCATCCATGTTTGTGTACAAACCTATGGAAAAATCAAAAATTGTGCTGCTTTTGTACAGCTATTTTCATATCTGGGATTGTTTTTCGAAAGTGTTGTGTAAGTGAAACCCATACACTATAAAACTGGTAAACAAAGTTAGTAAATCAGTGTTCCATGTAACAGCACCCATGTGCGCATATGTGCTTCCAATATTTGTGTTTTTATACCAAGCCACTATTTTGTACTCTTACGTCAAATTAAGACCTCACCCGACTGGTGAAATTACATGCCATCTAATTTCAATATGTTCTACAATCACGCACATCAAGTCTGTTCCTAGAATGTGCTCAAAAATATTTTATGCGAGAGAATGAGGAGTTAGCTCTTGTAATTTACTATAGCTCTATGGAGAGTAGTTCTAATATAGAACACTCACTGGATCACTGAGGGAGGTTTCTTTTACTTTACATGTACATGTACCATGAGTTAACATAGTAAAACAATTGTTTTATAACACCTCACCCACAGATTCTGCTTATTTTGTTCTGTTACCTGTTACCTATCCCGTAGTCTTCTGACCGTGGGGACACCCCTTGAAGACCTGTCAACCAGCTTCCTCCATCCCTCTCGATCCTCAGACTTTCTCAGGGAGTCACTCAGCGTCAGGCCTGTCCACTCCGAGATGTTATCCTCCCACCTCTTTCTCTGCCTGCCTCTCTTTCTTCCTCCTTGTACAGTGCCTTGCAGGATCGGCTTAGCAAGTCCTGATGATCGTGAAATGTGCCCATACCACTTCAGTTTGCGCTTTTTCACAGTGGTCAGGAGATCTTCGTAGGATCCAATGACTTGCCTGATTCTGGTCCGTACCTCCTCGTTGGTGATGTGATCTTTGTAGGAGATGCCAAGGATCTTTCTGTAGCATCTCATTTCTGTGGCATGTATTCTCCTCTCTAAGTCGGTTCTTAGAGTCCAAGTCTCACAGGAATAGAGGAAGACGGATATGACCAACGAGCGCATCAGTCTGATTTTTGAGCTGAGCATGATGTTCCGGTCATTCCAAATGGGCTTCAATTTTGCCAGCGCTGCTGTTGTCTGCGCGATCCTGGAGCATATTTCTGGTTTAGACCCTCGATCACTCACAACAGATCCCAGGTACTTGAAGCTTTGGACAGTGTCAAGCTTCCTGCCATTGACGGTGGTGTCAGTGGTGATACCGTTGATACTGTTGGTCATGCGTTTGGTCTTCTCTGCACTGATTTCCATGCCATAGGATGAGGATGTTTTGTCAATGCCTTCCACTAGTTTGGCAAGCTCCTGTTCTTCTCCAGCTACGCCATCGATATCGTCGGTGAAACGATATCTGATTAAATATCCAATAGAAATGTACTTTTCCAATATATTGTTTTGTTGAAAATTGTCTTTCTACACTACTTCCATATGAAATGTTTGCACCCAACTCTGTAGTGCATCAGAACATAGGCATAACACACACACACACACACAGACAAGCGTGTTCACACCGTCGATCGTGGACGTCCTATTGTCTCTCTTTTGTTTGTACTCTTTTTAGGAAGACTCCCATAGGTTTTGTACACGACCCCAATTGCGGACGTATGCTGAGAATTGTGGACGATATTGTTCTCTTTTGTTCTTCGTCCACGGTTTGAAAAGATGAACAGGTACACCCGGTCGTATGTGTGGGTGCGTTTAGGCCTTCAAACCGTGGACGAAAAATGCCGGAGAACAAAAGAGAACAATGTCGTCCGCGATTCCCAGCAAACGTCCGCGATTGGGGTCGTGTACAAAACAAATGGGAGTCTTCCTTAAAAGTACAAACAAAACGGTGTGAAAACAAAACGGTGTGAACACAACTGCGTGTGCACACAGGCCTCTGTTTGCTATATTGGTTGGTATGCATGTATCGTCTGTTTGGCCATGCATGGTAAAAAAAGTCACAATAGAGACAACTATGTGATGCGCTCTCAGCCAGTCAACAGGCAGAATATGTTGGTGAGGCGCATCACATGTAGTTTGTTGGTCATTGTTTTGGGATCTGTTGGGCATGACCCAAAACTCAGGCATGCAACTTTTCCTCAGATCTGCTGATTTCCTCGTTTTTTACTTCTCATGAATGCTGTTACAAATTGAAAAATACTGTACAAAGTCTTGTGTGGTTTGGAGTTTCCTCTCTTTTTTTCTAAATTCCAAGCTGCATGGCTGAAAACTGATCTCTCATTCACGTATGTGTAGAGTACATGAAGGGTTTGAGCTGTGCTCAGTTTTCAACCCCATGTAACCATGTCTTATTCAACATGGATGAAAATAACGTTTTGCTGACAACCAGTTTTCTTCAGTTTTGTACAAATTCCCACTGTATCCTTCAGGTGGAAAGAGCGCCGTCCTAACAGCTATAGTCGTAGGACTCGGAGGTAAAGCTACAGCCACAAATAGAGGCTCTTCAATTAAGAACTTCATCAAGAACACAGAGCAGTAAGTTGATCATCGGTTACAAAGTTAATCATTTTTACAGTATACAAGTATAACATGGTTTGAGGGTGGACAGTCGATATTGGCTCCCCGAGGTATTGGAAGTTGACAAACTAGTCTCTAGGCGAAGCCGAGGGAACTAGTTTGTCAACTTCCAATACCGAGGGGAGCTAATATTGACTGCCCACCCGAAATAAACCATGTTATATTTGTTTTACTATACCTCATACATATTCAGCTGCCAATATTGTTTTCGTTGCAGTATGCACCTCAAACAAAATCTTCGGAGAAACTTGTACAGCTCACCAAAAGAATATTATTGCTCAACTTCACTAGTTCAGTTTGTTTGCAATACAGTAACTACAATTGTAAATACACTAGTTTGTTGACAACTTTCTTTTGTACAGGCGGAATCTTTATTGTCCATAAATATTCTCCAGTTCGGCATCATTGAGCTCAGTGCGACAGTTCCTTGATTGCTTTGTAGAGTGCATGCGTAGTAGACTGTCGCATGGGTAACCTGTGCGACAGTCTACTACGCATGCCTATTTACCCTTTGCGTGAATCCTTGGGCGCGCACTTGGTAAACAGCAAAAATAACATCTGGCACGTGATGGTGAATGGACCAGGGAGAGTTCGGCTCTCGATCATGATAATGTATGAGGTATAATAATTTCAAATAAACCACATAGAGAAACCGACTAGGTGCATTGTTAAATGAAGAAATTGACCGGAGCGGGGTTTGAACCTGTCGGGATTGCCGTTGGGATGCTCTACCAATTGAGCTATCCAGCCCTATGTTGGTGGTTTCCCATTTTGTCAGTGTCCTTGTTGAAGTGCGCTAGTCAGAAGCCATAAACATATATATGCCATGCAGCCACATTGTTCTCTGTTTAAAAAAATGTTATTTAGAAAGTTTCTTTCTCTAACAAATATGATTCATGTCCTTTTCAACTAAATGTTCCAATGTATGACATATCTATATGATTTGCCGCAAATTTTTCTGCTAAAACAAAACCTGTGCTGGACTCGCACTAAAAGCACATGTGCAAACTATTTCTTTCAAGCTGTTTGGTTGTCTTGTAAATGTATGTTATAATGATGGCCCTGTCAATTGCCACATGCATATATTCTTAGTTTCACTCATGGCGTACATGTATGGCAAAACTGTATCTGGGAATGGCAGTTTGAATTCACTATGGTGATGTACTTTTTGTATGCTTTCAGACAAGGAGAAGTCACTATCAAACTGCGTAATCGTGGACTAGATGCCTATCGACCAGACCTTTACGGCTCAACCATCATTGTGGAGAGACGCTTGAAGGCTGATGGTATGTCTAGCTATAAACTCAGGGCCAAGGATGGAAGGGTCATCTCACAGAAATATGCAGAACTACAACAGATCAAGGACCAGTTTAACATACAGGTAATAGCACTGTCCACCATTAGGTAAGATGTACCTTAAACCAATCAGTTTAACATACAGGTAATAGCACTGTCCACCATTAGGTAAGATGTACCTTAAACCAATCAGTTTAACATACAGGTAATAGCACTGTCCACCATTAGGTAAGATGTACCTTAAACCAATCAGTTTAACATACAGGTAATAGCACTGTCCACCATTAGGTAAGATGTACCTGAAACCAATCAGTTTAACATACAGGTAATAGCACTGTCCACCATTAGGTAAGATGTACCTTAAACCAATCAGTTTAACATACAGGTAATAGCACTGTCCACCATTAGGTAAGATGTACCTGAAACCAATCAGTTTAACATACAGGTAATAGCACTGTCCACCATTAGGTAAGATGTACCTTAAACCAATCAGTTTAACATACAGGTAATAGCACTGTCCACCATTAGGTAAGATGTACCTGAAACCAATCAGTTTAACATACAGGTAATAGCACTGTCCACCATTAGGTAAGATGTACCTTAAACCAATCAGTTTAACATACAGGTAATAGCACTGTCCACCATTAGGTAAGATGTACCTTAAACCAATCAGTTTAACATACAGGTAATAGCACTGTCCACCATTAGGTAAGATGTACCTGAAACCAATCAGTTTAACACACAGGTAATAGCACTGTCCACCATTAGGTAAGATGTACCTTAAACCAATCAGTTTAACATACAGGTAATAGCACTGTCCACCATTAGGTAAGATGTACCTGAAACCAATCAGTTTAACACACAGGTAATAGCACTGTCCACCATTAGGTAAGATGTACCTTAAACCAATCAGTTTAACATACAGGTAATAGCACTGTCCACCATTAGGTAAGATGCACCTTAAACCAATCAAGTCTCGAGCACACTTGGCTTCAACCCCAATGATAAATATCAGAGTTATGTCTATGTGTACGTGTACATACTCTGCCTCTCTTCATCAGTAAGCCATTTCTGAATTGTCACTGCACACAAGATACGTGTGGGCAATTCCATAGAAATTGTACACTTTAAATCCAATATTTAAAAATGGTTCAAATGCTACAGTTTGAAGTTTGTTTTGTGTATTTTATTGAAATATGGTGTTTTTTTTCCTAATAATGTTCAACAGTTTGGCTGTTACTTGCAACTGAAAAAGTAATTAATTGGTATGCAAAAAGTCAGACACTATGCAGTTTCAAGCCGATTTCTACTACAGCAAAAAAGTTGGATGAATACATTCTTTTTAAAAATTATTAAAGTAACTAACTGATATGTCTGATCAGAAAATATCCACTTTATGATTGGAACTATAATTATGCAGACTGTTGAATTGTCTAAATTGTACATCCGACACTATCCGGTTTGTTAGTGTGACGTCCCTTCAGTTTAAACCACGCCCACTGCACATTAAGTAGCATTGGAACCATTGGAACCGGAAGCGAACGCAACTTGAGTGTTTATCCAATGGGTGCTAGTAATCAGTGGTGCGCACACGTGTATGACATTTTTACTAACGAACCGGATAGAACTGCCCATGTAGGATGTGGGAAAGAAATTTTTCCAACATTATACGGGGATCATACAAGGGGGATGTTGACAACATTTCTATATTCTTTTCATTGCAACCCAACAACCTTGCCTTTTGTACAGCTTTTGAATGTCATGTCAATTAAATGAATTGATTCTATCATTTGTGTAGATTGACAATCCCATGTCCATCTTGAATCAAGACACAAGCCGAAACTTCCTACATTCCCAGGATCCTAAAGACAAATACTCGGTGAGTTGTATCATTTGTATGTGCATCAGGCTCAACTGCTGCTTCTCTTACAGTTATTATTCAATATCTGATGTATTCCTACCCATATTGTTGGATGTGTATATATGCATATCATGTTGTTCTATTCCATAGGCGTGCATCGTTGCCTCAGATCAGCTGATTTTCTCATTTTTCACTTCACACTTATGCCATTAAAAATTGAAAAATGCTGTATATACAGGGTGTCCCAATAAACATTGTGCATAAAGAAATCGCTGATTTTCTCAAAAGTTGGTCAGACTAGCTTATCAAATTTTATAGCATTTTCAAGCCTATGGTCTTGTTTATAATTGGTGAAAAAATTAAAAAATCCAACTGTGCAAACCAGAGATATCATTGATTTGGTAAGGCTATGTATTTTTGGACCTGCACAATGTAATTTCCTCACTTAGTATTTGCTTGTACATGTATATACCAATTATTGGGTTTATAATGGTATGTGTTACGCAGTGCTTGAAATATTGCATAAGCTTTATGTAAAAAGATTTCATTTGTAAATAATTATAAGAAGAAACAACATAGCTGGAGGATGTTTATTTGATTGTTCATCGAAGAAGATTATTCAAAAGCATGTGATAACTGCTCTAATTGCAAATTACTTGAGTGTCAATGTTGTATAGACCCTTTTGACATTCTTTGTTAACATGCTTAACTACAGGATTCTAATTGTGCAGGAGGAAAATAATATAACCTTACAAAATCAACAATGTCTCTGGTTTGCATTAATGAATTTTCTAGATTTTTTCACCAATTATAAACAAGACCATAGGCTTGAAAATGCTATAAAATTTGATTAGCTAGTCCGACAGACTTTTGAGAAAATCAGGGATTTCTTCATGCACAATGTTTATTGGGACACGCTGTAGATTGTAAAGTTGGAAGTTCCTGTCTTTTTTTCATACTTTCCAGTTGCATGCCCGTGTCTAGTGACAGTTATAGCACATTAATCTAGTACCTTAATGTTGGTGGCTATGTTTGTATATTGCTTTCTGACATGGCGGTTTTGATTTGATCTCAGTTTTTCCTGAAGGCCACTCAGCTTGAGCAGATGTCCAATGACTATGCCAACATCCAGCAGCACAGGGACATGATGCAGAATACTCTCAGTAGGAAAGAGGAGGTGAGATCATCACAGACCAAGGTCTCAAGGGTTTGGAAATGGAATTTAAATGCGTTCAACTTAGTGCTGAAACTGATCCTCCAGGTTCGGTTCAGTTCGGTTGCGGTTCGGATTTTGTTTTTTTCGAACATCGGTTCGGTTCAGGTTTGGAAGTACATGTACAATGTACATTGAAAAGCATATAATTATACATACATTATACTTTTTGCCAGATCGCGCCGTTAGTCGGCTTTTATAAGTCACCGTTTCGCACAAGTCGGTGTGTTAATATTCTCGGTCCCCTATAAAAAGCACAACGAAATCCTTTGTGTGAATCGGCATTATCCCGAATGACCCGTGAACCATATCATTGTGCACATGCGCAGTTGAAATACCCAACTGGCTTATTGCACAATTGCACAATCACTTAGTACCAATGACATCGAGCAGTACTCTACTGCTAGATGCTGCCTCAACCTGTTACTGGGTCAAATTTTTGATGGAAAAATTAGGTGCGGAATAATTAGGTGCCTTTATAATTCTTTAATACTGCTTGTTTTTCTAAGTTACAGATGAAGCAATTCATCGAGACGTCAGAAAACATGATTTTTCTAAGTTGAAGTGCTTTTTTACCCTTTTCGTTTTGAACAATTACACTAAAAGCGATAAGCAAAATAAAAAAGGGAGAATTGCTTAAGAGACAGATTAGGCCAAGTATTAACAATTCTTGAAGTAGAAACATGTAATATATCAAAAATTAAAATCACTCAATACACGGTACAAATCCATTCCATGTTACTGCAGAATCAGACAATGGTTAGTTACCCTCAAAGGGTCTGCTATTGAGAACGAGGTTGAAAATGAAGTAGACACTGGGAACAAGGTTGGGCACATTTGTGACTAATTCCCAAATGAATGTGCACACATATGTAGTGTTGTCTACACATGAGAGACATAACCTGATCATGAGCACATAGTGGATTGGTTCATATGTAGCCTTCCGTTTTGCAAATTTTTACATAGAGTCCAAAGGTCTGAAAGCTTATTGCAGTTAACTGTTAATAATAGATTTTAATTGGTTGAAATACTAGTTACAATGAACAAAAATCCTTGGTCTTGAACAAATTGTGCACATTCTTGAAACGAACAGTTAGTCTAAGATGAATGTTGACAACATGAGGCGTATGTTAAGATGAAGGTATATATCAACCTAGGCCAGTAGAATGCAATTAATTTTTAGGAGTAATTTGAATGCCAAAATGTTTTCATTTGTGATATTTTCATTTGATGCAGATTCTTCCTGAGTTACAGCGTGAGGTTTTTCAAAATGAGCAGCGTTTTAAGGATCTAGACTCCATACAGAAACTGCAGAAGAAAAGAGATGATCTGATGCACATTGCTGCATGGGCACAGGTAGCTGCAGAAGAGAAGGTATGTACAACGTAGCATCTTGATATACAGGTAGTAGTTAATTGGGAATTCATAGAACCATTGTTGTTACTTTAAATGCAACCCCTTGGTGCAACCATGCCTCAAAACAGAGGCTTTGCATGGATTACAATCACAAGTGGGTAAAGTATAGGTTACATTTTTTTAATAAGTGATGAATACTTTTCTTATGAATTGATTTATTTTTAAGAAAGTCACAGAAAGCAATCCTGTATACCGTGTTTATACATGTGAAGTACACATAAAGAGCCAGTAGCTGTTTAATTACAGGCATGCAACTTTTCCTTGGATCTGCTAATTTCCTCGTTATTTACTTCTCATCAATGCCATTAATCCTAACCCTCCAAAATCCTCCTACCAGTTTTGGATGATTTTTGAGGATTGAGATGAATGGCAAAGATGTATCGCTTTTTTGTGGAGAATGCATTACGTCAAGCCAGTAGGCTATACCCTGCATTGGTTATGTTCAGCCATGCATAAATCAGCCCTGTGTTTTTCCTCGTATTTCATCCGCACTGCTTCTAAACGCCAGTCGCACTGCCTCAAACCATAGCAGTAATTGGCAGAGGATTTTGGAGGATTGAGGCAGTGGTCACCCTCCACGGACTAAATTCAAGAACTAACGGATGGTTTTAGAGGATTGAGGCTGAATCCAATTTTTTCTTGGTGGCAGTCGGAGGATTTTGCAGGATTGAGGTTGCATTCTAGCCAGAGGGCCTAGGGGGTTAGGGTTAATAATTGAAAAACACTGTACAAAGTCTTGTGTGGTTTGGAGGTTTGGAATTTCCTCGTATTTTCAAATTCCCAGTTGCATGCCTGTTTATTACAGTTCTTTTAATCTTAGCAATATCCTGTGTATTTAATCTCATTCCTTGAGATTATCCAACAGTACAGCAATTGCATGCTGTGTTGCATGCAGGTTGTACCTTACAGGTTGGACTGAGAGATGTCGTGGTTATTTTATGTTTGCAGGTATTGGAAACCATGCAGAAGGAGTTACGTCAGGAAGAGAGTCGCATGCCCAAGTTTGATGAGAAGATTGAGGCATCAGAGGTTGGTATGATATGAGGTTCATAAGTAAGGAGTGTGGTTTATTTGAATTTGAAATGTCATTATCTCCAAGGTATCCTAATTCCTGATACGTGACATATAGCTTCTGAAATTGAATTTCACTTTCTGCCAGGTGTCCAACAAAGGAGGTTTTACTCATTTTATTACCAATCAAAATTTTCAGTCTTTTTGGAGCCTGGTAAACTGTCGTCCATCGTTTTGTTTTTTAGTGATTTTGAAATTATTTGGAGGAAAATTTGGCAACTTTTGCTCATTATCAAACAAACATTTTTTGTTCACTGAGTAAATACATGTACCAGTCATTTTGTGCCAAACACGTGTGATAATTGACACTTACATGTAGGATGTTGAGTGAAGTGGTTCCCAGTTGCTGATTCCAAGACACTTTAATTTATGCAATGACATAACTAAGTATTTTTGTTCCAAAAATCATTTTGGTGTCTTAATTCCTTCATTGTTAAATTAATCTTTGAAGAAAAAACGATGTTCGCAGTGTTTTCTGCTACCTGAAAATGTATATTGAGTTCATCCATGAACTCAACAATCGGGTCAAAAAACGTGAATAAAAAGTGGAGGGCCCATATTTTTCAGGGACTCATAGCTCACCAACAACCAATGACTTGAAGTTGGCAACTAAAATGTCACATACGTGTGTAAGATGCATAGAGGTATTTGAAGAAAAAAAAAAGGTTTCATCCACCTGACAACTTCTCAAAAATGTAGGATAGTTGGTATGGAATGACCCATGTAAGCACTGAATACAATTTTCCAGCCAGGTCAATACTAAAGGTAAAGGTAAAGGTCCCATAGCCGTTACTGGCCGTAGGGGCAGTGGGATGTTAGAGGTCCACTGTGTCTTGGGCGCGGCATATGAGTGGCGGGGCCCAGTCCTCTCCTCTCGCCGTCTTACCTTCCCTGAATGAATCAGGTACCCATTTTACTGTTGGGTCGTCAGAGAGAGTTCTCCAGTTTTTGGTCTAAATGGGATTCGAACCGCCAACATTCCACTCCGTAGCTCCACGCTATAACCGCTCGCCTACGAGGCCACTGCTTAAGACTTATATCAACCCCCCCCCTCCCAAATGGTTCAGCAACAAAATGCATGCTGCCAAACATGAATCAAATCATTGTTCGCACTAAAAATTTTTAATCTTACCCAACAAAACATGAACCAGAATTTGAAGGTTGATTTGCAGCACCAATGAATGACTAGGCTAATAAATGAGGTAAACGCTCCAATTGAAGCCATTGAAGCCTTGTGTGGCGCTGTGGTCCAATGGTTACTGTGCTCGACTCATGTGCCGTGGTATGTGGGTTCAAATCCTGACTGTGGGAACATGGTGCTTGTGCTCTTGAGCAAGGTATTTTACCATTTTTGCTTTGTCCTTCGGATGGGACGTAAAGCCGTAGGTCCCATGTGTTGTGTAATGCACGTTAAAGAACCCAGTAACACTTATCGCTAAGAGAAGGGGTTTGCCCCGGTGTTTCTGGCAGTGGCTGCAATATGCGCCGCAGCACCTTGTAAACCCTTATACGGTGATACATAATGGGTCTCATATTACTCATCAACTTCATTTACCTGTTTTTAATAATTGACATAATTTCCAGTGCCTTGAGTACCTAATTGTTGGTAGATACGTGCGCTATATGAGACTTGTATTAATACTTGCCCTGTACCCATCACCGACTGTGAAATGGACTAGTCTTCATAGAATCGTACCCTACTCATGTATATGTACACAGTGTGCCCAAAATGCTCAATCTGGCTCTCTACTGTCCAAACATGGCAAAATGCTTTTTGGCTATTCCACATAAAAGTGGACACGGCTGAAAAGTGGAACATTCAGGAGATCTTCAGAACTACAAGCATTGCAAAAAAGTGTAATGCGAGTAACTTTGGAATTGCCTCTTTGTGTTACATTGCATTGTGACGTAGCTTTCAATTGTTCAAAGTCACAAGATTATTTAGATATATTTGAGATATCAGAGAGATAAGTCTTCACATTGCACTTTTCTCTGCCATCTTTGTGTGTATGATATTAATATCTGTTAAATTTTTACTTTCTTTTCAGGCCAAAGTAGCTAGCAGAGAGACTCACTTTCGTGAGTTACAAGACCAGTTAACTGAACTTGGTGAAAAGATCAAAGAACTACAGCCACAACATGCAATGGCCAAGGCAGAGATGGACAAAGAGAAGAAGAAGGAACGAGATCTAGAGGTATGATAGCAGGCCAGGCATCATGAAAACGATCACAAATTCAAACATGCTGCATGCAAAGATCAGCACAGCCATTCAAACATGCTGTATGCAAAGATCAGCACAGCAAGACATTTGACTTGAGGAGTCACAAAACCTCCCCACATCTTTACCCTTACAAGGGCCATACAGACTAGTCCTCCACATGGAAATTATTATGAACCCTCTCATTACCATAGGTAACATTAGTGATGTGATCAAGCTAATTGAGTCGTTCATTTCAAACTTTCATTTGGAGATCCAGGCCAAAATTGGGCCACTTCATCACATCACTTCATCACATCTCTTGGTGTTCCGACTTCCATAATTTTTTAACTAAAGATGGTATCAGCATGCGGTTTGCACAGCAGTAATGCTGAGATTGTGCTCTTTTCAAATCTGACATATTATATAAAAAAAACATGGTTTGAAGGTGGAAAGTCGATATAACCAAGGGGAGCTTATGACAACTACCCACCCGAATAAACTGTTATATTTGTGTGACTATACCCCATGCAAATTCACCAAAATATGTTGAGTTACTGATAGTGATAGAAAAACATAACTTTTTAGTGCCCTGACATCATAATGGTGCAAGTCATATGCTGCTACTTCAATTATTGAAAAATAATCAGTCATAAAATCTCTAGAAGGATATCGTTGCAGTTTGTCCCCATTTTTGGTACAAGTTAAAACTAAAAACAAAAATTCACTATAACACTCGCATCTTGCTTGTAAAAACAAGGTGCCCAAATGACTACCTAAAATCCATAACTTTAGCCAAATAAACAGGGGTGTTTTTTTTGAGGGGTGGGGCAAAAAATACATTTAATCTTATTCCATCTCAATGCTACATCATTCAAATGAAAGGTCTTTTCCCCTTTATGCCTAACCTATCAAAATCCATCCCCTCCCCCCCCCCCCCCCCCCCCCCAATTTGGGGGATTTTGGCAGGCAAGCCATGAGTATCTACAAGCATTTACCAAGTCCATCAAATCCACCATTTGTAGTGGTGGTCTTGTGGTGGATTTCAGCAGATTTGGTCCTGAAGCATTATGTGAAGCAGGGTCAGTGATGGATTTTGGTGGACTTGGTCCAGTACTCAGTAAAAGACATTAGGGAGTTAGGGTTAGTATGATACCACATTTGAGGTTACGTTGCTTGTAGTTCTGAAGATTTCATAAATTTTCCATTTTTTATCCATGTTGACATTCTCATGGAATTGCCGTCCTGTCAATCTTACATACATTAGGCAGTGTTGTTGAGTCTATCACAAGACCACCACAAGTCCAGTCCAAATAAGATGACAAGTCCATCAAGTCTGGTGACAAGCATAAAACAAATGAAGAATAACGCGTAGTTGGGCATTTGAATAGCATGTGACTTGACTTGGGATTGGATGGATTGTGATGGATTTGGGAGGATATGGGAGTGACTTGACTACAATACTGGAATTAGGTCACATTTCTCAATGGTCAGCATGTTGATGTACATGTAGAGCAACCCCATATAGGACTTGCAATCACTCAACCATTCAATCTTGTTCATTTGTATGTATTTAATGTCTGCAGAAGAAGGTTCGCTCCAATCAAAATCAGTTGAAGAGTCTAAATGTAGACAAGAATGACTTGCAGTCAAGAATCAACGAACTCAAGAACAGGTACAGTTTTACTATTTTATAAATTGGTAATAGGATTTTGTTCTGTGTATTTTGCAACAATGTAGCTGTCCTGTGAAACTGACTTTTGCCACACCATTGTCTTTCTTTTAGTGCTCGCAGAGATTATGAAGATGAACGAAACAAACGTGAAGCTGAGATACAGAAGCTTCAGGAGCACATTCAAGCTCAGGAGGCGCAGTGTACCACATTGGAACAAGATTTAGAGCAGTTTATATCTGCTCTCAATAGAGCCAAAGAACAGACCTATGGCCTCAGGTATGCCCTCACTTGTTTTGTTTGTAACATTGACATACATTTTGTACAGAAGGAAGCTTTAACTTTGCATTGAAGTTTACTTAAAGTTCCGTTTCATCAACAAAAGTCTTCAAAAAGATTTTAGACCCTCAGATGCGTGTGCTGGAATTATTGACTGTTCTGCACGGGGAGCAGTATCACTGAACAATAGGAACATTTTTCGCGTGGCAGAATGGGCGGTAAATTTAACCCACCGGCAAGGCTGAGAGGCTCCATTGTGCTTTCCTTTGTACATGTATTTGTAATTGTTTCTGCTAGCTGTGTCAGATGCATGTGAAATGTGACGACTGAGATGGGAAGGAACCTCAGAGGCCTATTGACTAGACAATTGTTGGCAATGCAGATCTGTTACATTGCTGTGAAAGAAATTAGATATTCAGTTTGATTCTGTAGTCTGGTTGGAATTTGAGAACCTTATATTCACAACCATTATATGAAATATAACACCTGTGTTCAGGACAGAAGCAGGAGGAGATATCTTGGAAATATTCCTCCTTTGAAGCTGACAATAACAGATTGCGGAAAATTAACTTACCCCTGTACGCATGGCATACGCAGGTGTTCAATGTGACGGCTCATTGACACTTTCATCAACAAATGTATCAAATATAGAACCAGAGATGCAGACATAAAGCACAACATGGATGCAAAGGTACGAAGAATCCGGCATCTTGAAGACAGTCGTAAGGATCGTCTGAAGCTGTATGGTGACTTCATGCCTACATTACTGAATGAGATCAATAAGGCCACTCAGCGGTTTCATCACAAGCCAAAAGGACCCATAGGTGAGATGAATGGGCTATGTCTCAAACCCAAAGGACCCATAGGTGAGATGAATGGGCTATGTCTCAAGCCCAAAGGACCCATAGGGGTGATGAATGGGCTATGTCTCAAGCCCATAGGACCCATAGGTGAGATGAATGGGCTATGTCTCAAACCCAAAAAACCCATAAGTGAGATGAATGGGCTATGTCTCAAACCCAAAGGACCCATAGGTGAGATGAATGGGCTATGTCTCAAGCCCAAAGGACCCATAGGTGAGATGAATGGGCAATGTCTCAAACCCAAAAAACCCATAAGTGAGATGAATGGGCTATGTCTCAAACCCAAAGGACCCATAGGTGAGATGAATGGGCTATGTCTCAAGCCCAGAGGACCCATAGGTGAGATGAATGGGCTATGTCTCAAACCCAAAGGACCCATAGGTGAGATGAATCGGCTATGTCCCAAACCCAAAGGACCCATAGGTGAGATGAATCGGCAATGTCCCAAACCCAAAGGACCCATAGGTGAGACGAATGGGCTATGTCTCAAACCCAAAGGACCATAAGTGAGATGAATGGGCTATGTCTCAAGCCCAAAGGACCCATAGGTGAGACGAATGGGCTATGTCTCAAACCCAAAGGACCATAGGTGAGATGAATGGGCTATGTCTCAAGCCCAAAGGACCCATAGGTGAGATGAATGGGCTATGTCTCAAACCCAAAAGACCCATAGGTGAGATGAATGGGCTATGTCTCAAGCCCAAAGGACCCATAGGTGAGATGAATGGGCTATGTCTCAAACCCAAAGGACCCATAGGTGAGATGAATGGGCTATGTCTCAAACCCAAAGGACCCACCATAGGTGAGATGTAGGAGGCACTCTTAATTGCATAAATCTTGAATGCATCTTACAAAGACGCTACAGGTTTTGCATTCATTGGTAATATCAGTCATGCTTACATGGTACAACCCCCATGACTGCACGCAGTGCATCTCTTCCACTGGTGCTTTGGTCCTAATTTCATAGCGCTGCTTAAGAGCCAACTTTGTGCTTACCAAGTCTCTATCTACAGGGTGAGTAAAATCAAAACCTAAATGTTGGGACTTTTGTTTAAGTGAAGTTCTGCATGAAGCACTCTCAAATCTAGGATATTAAAGCCAAATTCATTCACTTTCTTTTAGTACAAGAATCATTCAAATCACTCATGTATTTTTCAAGTTACAGTATTTTAAATACAACCACCGTTTTAAAGTTCAGTCCACAGATCACCAAAAAAGTGTGCGTTCTTTCAGCAAAACGGAAACAATTCACACACATTCCTATGTGATTTGTTTTCGTTTTGCTTAAAGAACACTGGAGTTTTTGTGATCCATGGACAGAATTTTAAAACGGTGGTTGTGTTTGAAATTCCTTAACATGAAAAGTCATCATCATCATCATTGGGCGGCCGCAGCCGAGATGGATGAAACCAAACTCTTCCAGTCTCTCTTGTCCGCCATGGCCATGGTGATGTCATCACTGTGCTGGCTCACATCGTTGCATACAGTGTCGACGTAGTTGAGGGGTCTCCTCCCTCTGTTGGGGCAAGGCAATCTCCAGCAGATGAGGTCGGAGACAACTTGCTCTTTGGCTCTGTAGCAGTGGCCGGCAAGGCGGGCTCTGCGCTGTGCTACTGTAGTTGAGATAGGTTGGATGTTGCCATAAATTTCTGCCTTTGTCTTATGTTCCTTCCATGATATATTTTGCGCTCTCATGAGGAGGCGAGTGTAGGTACCATCTAGTCTCTGTTTAAGCTGCTCTTTCACAGACCATGTCTCGGCACCGTATAGCAGGATACTTTCGACAGAGTATCGGAAGAAAGCTAGCTTGGTGGATTGAGATATGTTGGATTTCCAGATAGAGTGGAGTTTGTTGCACTCATTCCGTGCTTGGACCTTGTGTCAAGAAAAGTACATGAGTGATTTGAATGATTCTTGTACTATAAAAAGAAAGTTTATGAATTGGGCTTTCAGATTTTGAAGGTGCTACATGCAGAACTTCACTAAAACAATAGTCCTCACATTTGGGTTTCGTTTTTTTCTCACCCCGTACATGTTAAAGCCTAACCATGCTCAATTCAACACAAATTCTGCATAATTCCAATGAAACCTTGAGAATTAGTCTTGATTTCTTCTATTTCATAGGAAACTATCTGAAACTAAGAGATCCACGCTGGGCTATTGGCATTGAGGCTTGCTTAAAGGGACTTCTGTACAGGTTTTGTTGTCATGATTACCACGACATGAATATCTTGAACCAGTTGATCTCTCGTTATGTCCCCAACAAGAAACAGCGACCAGGAATCATAGTATCAGCCTTTCAGGTAGGTACATGTGATACACTTGAGATAATAAAGTGAAGAGCATTGTGACTTACACCTGTTTCAGATTGGTGCTCCAAGAGTTAGGCCAAGTAACAAAATTACCAATTGATCGTCCACATGCACTTAACTTTCCCCCATTTTTCTGGAGGAGATTTTAGGGGTTGGCCGAGACATTGTTCCGCGGTCGTGGGTTATCGGCGTAGCAAACAAGAACAGCGTCTAGCCCCTAGACTAGGGTTGGCCGAGACATTGTTCCGACTGGTTTGTGGGTGATATTGGTTGGTCGTGATAGGGCCCTCTTGCAGCGGCGGGTTATTGCTGTGTATTATTATCGCGTATCAAACCATAACGACGTCTAGCCCCTAGACTAGGTATTTCTAGTGGCTTGTTAGTTGTGTTAGTTCAAAGTCAGACAATGTGATTTGTTCAATTCTCCATGGTGTAAAACACCAATCCATTAGGCCCTGCACTTTGTGCATATGGATAATAACATGTGTCTCTCTCTAATGCAATGATGTTGAACTTTGACTGGACATTAACCCTAACCTTACCAAATCCATCAAAATCCATTCCCCCCCCCCCCCCATTTTGGGGGATTTTGGCAGATAAGCCATGAATACCAAGTGCATCAAAATCCACCTATAGCAGTGGCGGATCAAATGTTGTGGTGGATTAAATGTTGGTCCTAAAGTATTATGTGAAGTAGAGTCAGTGATGGATTTTGACGGACTTGGTACTCTACTTAGTAAAACTTGGTACAGGGAGTTATGGTTAATCATGGGTGTGATTGGTCAACGTATCATGGGGCATGTGGGGTAAGCACAATGATCACTCTATTAGTAGAGATGATCATTGAATGTTTGTATCTTGTTGTTGTAGGACCAGCGGTATGACATCTCACAGGGGGCAGTACAATGTCAAGACTACCCCTCCTTGTTAGACATGCTAGACATTGAAGATCCCATCATCTACAATTGTTTGATTGATCAAGTAAGCATTTGTCATTCCGTATGTGTTTGCTTGACAAACTATTACCCATTGCAGCCTGAATCTGCTATTACTATACCTCATGGCAAGATTACCATATGTGAAGTTCACTAATTTTCCTGACTAACAAGCCCCCAGATAGCAATTTCATGTCATCAAAGTCAATTTGAGCAGTGAGAAAATACAAGCATTTTCTTAGAAAACACTTAGAATTTTTCAGTCCACTCTCACAGGGTTTGTACACAGGGTGTTGAGTGAACTTCGTATATGGAAATCTTTCCTACCTCATACATATTCATGACTGAAAGCCGAATTCTCACTGGTCCATTCACCATCACGTGCCAGATGTTATTTTTGCTGTTTACCAAACACGCGCGCGAGTATTCATGCACAGGCTAAGTACGCATGTGTAGTAGACTGTCGCACGGGTTACCCGTGCGACAGTCTACTACGCATGCGCTTTACGAATCAATCATTGAACTGTCGCACGGGTGAAGCACACACGCGCGAACATCACCATATAGCTACACATGAACAGATGGTTGCACACGTAAATGATAATAAGCATTTTCCCGAGCTGAATGATGCTGAATTGGAAAATATTGTGGACAATATAAAGATAAATGTGCTAAAAAAAGTTGTCCACAAAACAATTGTATTAACAACAGTAGTTACTGTATTGCAAACGAACTGACATTTTGGGAGTTGGAGCAATATTATTCTGGCTGGTGAGCTGGACAAGTTTCTCCAAACATTTTTTTGCGGATGCATACTGCGGGAAAAATCAGCAACTGAATATGTATGAGGTATAGTAAAGCAAATATAACATGGTTTATTTCGGGTGTACAGTCAATATTAGCTCCCCTTGGTATTGGAAGTTGACAAACTAGTTCCCTTGGCTTCACCTCGGGAAATAGTTTGTCAACTTCAAATACTCCGGGGAGCAAATATCGACTGTCCAACCTCAAACCATGTTATATTTTTATACTATCCAGCACCTACTGTTGCCTGATTTGGGTGGCTTTAATCCATTACAGCTTATGATTCACTTTTACGCAGGAATGATGACCCTATTTTGTGAAGTCCAAAGGTTTGTTCCATAGTTTATGTGTACATGTGCAGCTGTTGTCCTTGGCTGTGCACCACCCTCACATGTGAATAGTCGCATCACAATTAGACATGTTTCTTTCACAAGAAATGGTTGCTTCACAGGAAGCAGCTCATTCAGTCTGACATTGCAGAGCGATTGCATCCACTCTCTACCTAACTCAAGCATTTGCAATATTGGAAATTCTGTGGGCATAAATTATTACACTTGATACATATTTATGAGCCAAATATGCATATTCATTAAATGATCAATGTTCCATGTGTCAGAGAAGTGAAACTAGCTTTCCTGCATGGATGATGCACGTACTATCACCCAACCATTCAGGAATACCAGGGAACTAGTGCCCCAAGATTAGCTGCTAGACTCTCTGCTAGACAAATGAAAGTGAAGTTGCTTTTGATACCATACTGCAACACTCACCACAGACTTATATGCATTCCAAGGAGGGATTATATTAACTTTAGACAATGAGGCCAAGTATGTATTAGGTGAAAGTAGTTTCCAATTACTGGTCCCTCAGTGTTGGCTTTGCATTGGAAAGTTTTCAAATCTTGCAATATCTCAGGACCTGGACTCAACACGATTCCCCTCAAACCATGTTGTATTTGTAAATGATGTGCAAGATTAGGTCAGTTATTTTTAATACCTGTGTGTAGAAATTGAATATATATGTGTTTCATAAGTGCAGTAAAATCGTAGCGAAAGTAAAAAGACGGGATATTCTGAGTAACTGATAGCTCAGAAATGTAACAAATACGGGTTGAGTCAAAAAAAGTGGAACCCAAAGCCCGAAAAATATATTCATATGTAAAAAGAATATATAGCACCAAAAATAATAATGACTAAAAGCCAATTTCATAAGCTACTTTTAGGTGAAAATATTACTGAAATTGCTCAATCCATTCAAAGGATATCACCGTTTAAACGCAATAACCCTAAATCCTGTTTCGTCAAAAAAAGCAGTTTATTGTGTATTCTGATTGTTTGGAACAACAAAGAAAATGACACAGAATATTTGTTTCAACAACTGTCAACAACACAATACCTTTATTAACAACTCTGGTTGGGCAAACAATATGATTAATAAAATCCACTTTTTTTAAAAGACGGGCCTTCGAAAGGACTTTGTTGAATATTTTTAACTTTTAAACAGGTTTTATCACAGGTGATGTTTTGAAGACAATTGACCTTTATCATGCTGCCACCATTTCAGTCATGTTCCCTTTATCCAAAAACAGTACTGAATGATAATGTGTTTGTGCAAAAGGGAACTAGACTTTTTTTCTTCCAGCCTCACTTTGGTTACATTGATTTGAATGAGAAAAAAATCAAGACAGCCGCAACATGATAATGGTCTATTGTGACGATTCTTGAAAATCACATTTTTTAACAAAAGAGGTTTTAGGGTCATTGCGTTTAAATGGTGATATTCTTTGAACGGATTGATCATTTTCAGTAATTTTTTCATCTAAAAGTAGCTTATGAAATTGGCTTTCCGGGCATTATTATGTTTGGTGCTACATGTTTTTTTAAATATGAAATGTAGCAACTGTGTTTAAATGCATATCATACATATGTTGTACTTGTGTTACGTTGTCACATGCACTTGTGTTGGTTAAACTTAGTCTCAGTGGGTACAGGTTTTTCGCTGAGCACTAGAGGATTTGCGTGGTTTTGCACTTTGCTGATTTTGTCCTTCTTATAGCCATTGTTTCATCTGTTCATATGTCAAATTGTCTTCTAAATATTGTTCTACATGAAACTTTTGTGATGTTTGCCTTTTGAAAAGAAAGATTTAAGAACCAAAGTTTATTTTTAAGGTCAGTGTGCTAAGACGTAGACTAACTATAAATAGAAGATAAGCTGTGCTCAGAGCAATAATTGATTTTGTTGTTATTTTTTTTCAGCGTGGTGTTGAAAGTATTCTGTTGGTGGAGACAAGCCAAGATGCACGTAACCTATTGCGTTTGCACACACCACATAACTGCAGTCAGGCATTCACATTGAGTGGAGATCAGGTCTATGCTGGTCGTGATCAGCGTTATTACTCCAATCGAAGCACCAAGGCTAAAGTACTGCAGGGTGACGTGGAGGAAGATATCAGGTACATTATTAGAACATCTTGTCTTTTGAATGGATGACTATGTGAACATGATTACCATTATTTTGACTGTACAACCAAAAAGAACTATACAGAAGCTATAGAGCAACAAAATACTTTACCCACAGACATTTGAAGGCCATGTCTATGCACATGCATGTACATTGTGCATATTTAAACATGACACCTTGCAGAGATCACTGGTGCAAAAATGAAAACATGTGGGCATAAAAGCCAGTAGATTTTCAATTTATGTCATTCTCAAATAGACATACATTTTGTATTGGCTACAGTTTATTCAAAACATCAGGTATCTCCTAAACTGTGTATGCAAAAACTGTGGAGCACAAATTGTGCAACAAATACCAAATTCTTTCACTTTGAAATTAAATAAAATTTCCTATCATATCAGATATGTACCTTTTCTTAAAATGTAAATCTGAAAATGTCAGCATATTGCTGGAAATCATTGTGAGATGTCATCATCCAGTTTTACTTCTATGCTGGTATTGTATGGACGTAAAAAGTTGGTTTCTTTTCCTTGTTCTTATTTTGGATGAATGATTGATATCTGACTAGTGACATGCAGAATGAGGTGCAGGTGTTGGGGCAGCAACAGAAGGATGTACAACAACAGCTGAAGGACCTAGATACAACGATCCGACAGAATGAACAGCAGAAACGACGAGCAAATACTCAACGATTGAAACTGAAGGATACTATCAACCAGCTGATCTATGTAAGTTACATTGATAGAAAACGAAGGATACTATCAACCAGCTGATCTATGTAAGTTACATTGATTGAAACTGAAGGATACTATCAACCAGCTGATCTATGTAAGTTACATTGATTGAAACCGAAGGATACTATCAACCAGCTGATCTATGTAAGTTACATTGATTGAAACCGAAGGATACTATCAACCAGCTGATCTATGTAAGTTACATTGATTGAAACCGAAGGATACTATCAACCAGCTGATCTATGTAAGTTACATTGATTGAAACTGAAGGATACTATCAACCAGCTGATCTATGTAAGTTACATTGATTGAAACCGAAGGATACTATCAACCAGCTGATCTATGTAAGTTACATTGATTGAAACCGAAGGATACTATCAACCAGCTGATCTATGTAAGTTACATTGATTGAAACCGAAGGATACTATCAACCAGCTGATCTATGTAAGTTACATTGATTGAAACCGAAGGATACTATCAACCAGCTGATCTATGTAAGTTACATTGATTGAAACCGAAGGATACTATCAACCAGCTGATCTATGTAAGTTACATTGATTGAAACTGAAGGATACTATCAACCAGCTGATCTATGTAAGTTACATTGATTGAAACCGAAGGATACTATCAACCAGCTGATCTATGTAAGTTACATTGATTGAAACCGAAGGATACTATCAACCAGCTGATCTATGTAAGTTACATTGATTGCGGTTAGCTGGAATACAAACTGAAATGTGTTTATTACAAAGGCAGATCACAAACTCATCTTCTAATCAACGGGAAGGGGGGAATTGTTATTCTTTCAAACAAATAGTTCATGTATCGCTGATTCCAGAACTATTCAAATGAATATTTACTTTCAAATCATTTAAGTTGCAGGCCTTTAAATGTTTGCCAGCTGGTACCATGTCTATTCATCAGGATGATAAGAGTCTGCATCTACAAGCCTTAACCCTAACCCTCCTCACTCCTCCAAAATCCTCCTGGCGGTTTTGGAGGATTCTAGAGGATGAATGGTGATTGAATCAAATGAGGATTCTGGAGGATTGAGGATGAATGGTGATTGAAGCACATGAGGATTTTGGAGGATTGAGGATGAATGGTGAATGAAGCACAAGAGGATTTTGGAGGATTGAGGATGAATGCATTTTGAGGCAGGACTGTCTGATGATTTTGAAGGATTTGGCGTTGGTTATCCTTCATTTAAACACGAGTGCAAAGTTTTGGGATGAGGAGGATTTTGGAGGATTGAGGATGAATGCATTTTGAGGCAGGACTGTCTGACAATTTTGAAAAATTTAGGCGGAGTTGAAAGATTTTGGAGGATTTGGGAGGATTGAGGATGGTTGTAGGCAACAAGGGCCTAGGGGGTTAGGGTTAAAGACTCAGTTTGTTGGATTTGGTCACATTCTATACACTTGCTGCTCACAGGATTGTTTTCAAATCCATGTGGACATGCACATGTTCATTTCACAACACATACGAAATGTTGAAATAAGAAAAATATCACTGGTGGCTTGAAATCATTCAACCATTGAGGAAGTTTAATTTGTGTGTATAATATCCGATCTGACTCTGGTTTCTATCAACCTACGACAGGACAAGCGACAGTTGGAAGCAGTAGAAGATGTTCCTCCAGTGGATGTGAGCACACTAGAAGAAGAAGTAGCTACACTAGAGAGAGAGATTGAGGCATATCAGGCAACCCTGGATGACTTGGGGGCTCATTATAAGCTGATCCACAAGGAATATGACACACTCAAACAACAATTTAGTGCAATGGATGAACAAATGAAGAATTTTGCTGATAAAGTTGAGCCAATAAAGGTAATAAGTCATTCAAAATAACTAATGGTGTTTATTCTAACAAGTTGAACAAAGAAATTGACTGGAGCGGGGTTAAAACCTGTGACCTCCGGATTGCCGTTCCGGTGCTCTACCAACTGAGCTATCCAGCCCTATGTTGGCGGTTCACCATTTTGTCTTTTGTTCAAGGGGCGCTAGTCAGAAGCCATAAACCTGTAAATGCCTTGCAGCCAGGGATCACGCCCAAAGTTGTTATAATTCACCTAGTCAGTTTCCCTTTGTGGTTCGTTTGATAATTTGTAATAAAAACGTATCCTCTCCGAGTGATCACCGTTTGCTATTTCCCAGGTCTGCATCGTGACTTTCGGCGTGATCCCTGGCTGTATGGCATATACTGGTTTATATGGCTTCTGACTAGCGTCCCTTGAACACAGACATTGACAAATTGGGGAACCGCCAACATATGGCTGGATATCTCATTTGGTAGAGCACCGGAACAGCAATCCGGAGGTCGCAGGTTCAAACCCCACTCCAGTCAATTTCTGTGTTCAACTTTTCCACAACAAAAAAGTGTTCATTGTTTAGTTGAGACTATTTGTCTTGATTGTAGCTTGATTGGCAGATGGTATGGATTGTATTGCATTGTGACTGGTCCTAGGCTGACTGAGTGACTGACTGTCACATGTGAATCAGACATGCTTATAGCCTAGCGATGTACATCAAGTCAGGTTGACGAGGCCAAACCGCCCCTGACGTTTATTTTATAAACCGAATCTGAACCGAAAACGAACTGGACTACCTAAAACCAACCCGACTCGAACCGACAACAATTTAAAGAAAACCGACCTGATTTGACCCGAAACAGAACCGACCCAAAAAAACCCCGAATATCTGGCTTCGGCAAATGTGTCTGCTTTTCGCACCTGAACTGACCCGCTTCGCGTTAAAAAAATGTCGGCTTTCAGTAACTGAATCATGCCGTGCGGCACTCACAACGTGACCTACTGGTGGGCCTACATGTTATTGACCGATTGAGACAGACCACAATCCATTTCTAGTCGCACCGCGCGCAGTGACACTGCACTAAATTGTGCACCATGTATTTCTATTCTGTTTCGGCTTATTTCAGGTTTTTCCAGAATTGCTTTACTGACCTGACCCGACCCCAAACTTGCAAACACAAAACCAAAACTGACCCAACCCGAACCGTCAGTTCGGGTCGGTTTCGGTTTTGTGTCAGATTTGCACAACATTATCATAGCCTGACCTTGGCCCAGACATGTGACTCATATGACTATAGCCTAGACCCTTTGGACCACTTTGGTCTAAAGCTTTATTAGTCTACCAGCTTTACTGATGCAATTTGAAGTCAACTACTGACATAGAGCCTGCATTGGGTTGGCATGGCAATCACAGATGAACCAAACAGTTTGAAAACCACCAGTTTAGACACACAACCCCAACATGATGAGCCTGTATGAGAAGATCCTTCGTCCAAAAAGTCTCCCAATTTGTGACGTCATTTGTTTAGTGGCGTTTACCCCGCGCCTGCACACTAAATACATGCACTATTAAATATATAACATTCAATGCAGTCATTGTAACCTTATGAAAATTAGGTGATGAGCACAGTGGTTCATTGCTTTGAATTGTTCCAAACTTTTCAATTTAAAACAGGATGATGTGTTGAGTGCCACTGCTGAAATCGAATCCGCTAAGAATCATCTGAAGCACTACACCAACAAGAAAAAAGAACACGTGGACAACCTGAATGCCCTGCAGAAGAGACAAGATGATAAAGCCAAACTGGTGCAGGTCAGTAGTCACATGACCTGTAGCTGGTTGTATCTGGCAGTTCATTCAGCCACAGAGATGAAACTTTCCCGATTTTGATCTGTAATCCGACTTCTTGACTTTTTCAACAAAATCTCTGTTTTTTTAACAGTTCATCCCGCAAAAGTGTGATTTTTTTTTAGCTGTACTGTTCAAAAAAAATTGATGAGCATAAGTGATACATTTCACTGGCAGTTGTTGGAAGAAAAAAAAAATGTACGATACGAATACAAGTGGAGTAGTGGAGTGTATGGTTGAATCATGGACATGATTGAAGTGTTGTCATGAATGGTGCCCTTGTCTTTCAGACTTTTTCCTTGACTTTCTCAAGTGAGAACTGAACTTCTTTGTTCATGGGTCAGTTTCGCGAACCGTAGTTCTTGCCGTTTGATTTTATGAAAACACTGACCATTTTTTTTTCGTTGTAAAATTTTCTTTTGGTTGAAATTAAGACAGGAGTCAGTGTCCGGAAATTGGGCATGAAGTGTATTGTACATACAATTGTAATTTCCCAATTTTCCCCCCTATGCCAGTTTCATCTGCAGCTAGCATTCTTTAACGTTTACCTGTGGATCTTGACCTTTTTCCTTCCATTTGTATTTTTCATCCTTATGTATTTGGTTCTATTTTTTTGCTTACCATGTTTGAGTTGTATTTTTTTTCTTCTGATCTTGTTACTTTATGTGTGCAGGAGATGATAGGGAAAGCCAAGCAGGTTCATGCAGAGAGAATTGCGACTGCCAGAAAGCCACAGAATATTGATAGTGAAATTGACCAAATTACCAAAAGGATTGAAAAGGAACAACAAAGGTATTGTGCTCAATTTTTAAGAAAAAAATATTCATGTTGTAAATTAGTATCATTCACTCATCAACTTGTACAGGGTGAGTCAAAAAAAAGCAGAACCCAAACCCTCAAAATTACATTTCATATTTAAAAAAAATATGTAGCACCAAAAATAATAATGACTGGAAAGCCAATTTCATAAGCTACTTTTAGATGAAAAAATTACTGAAATTGTGTATTCTGACTGTTTGGAACAACAAAGAAAATGACACAGAATACTTGTTTCAGCAACTGTCAACAACTGTAGTACACAATATCTTCATTAACAACCCTGGTTAGGCAAACAATATGATAATCCACTTTTAAAATCCACTTTTTTGAAAAGACCGACCTTCAAAGGGACTTTGTTGAATATTTTTAACTTTTAAACTGAGGTTTTATCACAGGTGATGTTTGAAGGCAATTGTGACGACGATTCTTGAAATTGCATTTTTGGACGAAAGAGGTTTTAGGGTTATTGTGTTTGAATGGCGATATTCTTTGAGTGGATTGAGCAATTTCAATAATTGTTTCATCGAAAAGTAGCTTATGAAATTGGCTTTCCAGTCATTATTATTTTTAGTGCTACATATTTTTTAAATATGAAATATAATTTTTTGGGTTTGGGTACCGCTTTTTGTTTACTCGCCCTGTATTCACAAGACTTTTAGCATCTAAAGTGTTAACTCCTATTCAAGCATGGTCACATGGGGTTCACTAGTACATGAAATATGCGATGTGTCCTGAACTAGATCAGGGCAGTAACGATGCATCAACAATTGCAAATGAAATGGAGTATTGCAAAGTTCATGGTGGCTTACTAAATGTTTGAAGAAAAACAAGGTTGAAGAAAAGAAACATCTTTTCGTGCTGTCAAAAATGCAAAGAAAAGTGAGGAAATGACAATAGCAACTTTCTGTGTCTGACGGTATGTCAAGTGCTGCATGCCCAATCCACTGTCCCACTAAATGTTGACCCCCAAGAATGTGTGTTCTCTGCCAGCGTGTGCAGTTCTTTATGCCGTTTCATAAGCAGACGTGCAGAATACTGTCTGGCAGTCTGTATTCCATGGACTTCAAATTTCAAGCCAGATTGCAGTAAACAAAGCTTTCTTAAGGACTATATGGCACTTCTGTCAAATCCAAAAATGTCCCTGATTGGTTTTTTTTTTTAAATTAGCCCAGACACAAGCGTTCAGCTTTTCAACTTCAGTGGAATGGATTATACAGGGAGACCCAAAAAAATGCACCCCTAAAATATTTGCCTTTAGAAAAAAAGGGGTCAGTGGATTTTTATGTTTTGCGTGTCAGATTAAGCTGAGAGTATTTTCTTTCAAATATTGAAAAAAATCATGAAAATAGCACTTTGGGTTGCTGAGAAAATGTCAATTATGTAAACGTTTTCTAATTAAATCTGAAATTAGAAAAGATAGGCCAATTCTGGTGGCAGATTCTGAAAGCCTTGTGCCACATTACCCTGGCTAGCATTTTTGGCACATTCATTTATAAGATATTGGCCTCCAAAAAACCCTATAAATTAACGCTCGCGACTTGCAAGCTTAAAGTGGGCGTGGCACCCTTTCTTTTGAGAGCCATATCTGGGAAAGCCTTAGGAGTTGACCCAGAAATGTTTGCATGTGTTCATAATACATAGAAAGGTATTGCCACAAATTGTTTTGGCCAAATGTGAGTCGGTGGCCTTGGAAGATTTCTGGAGTTTGGTTGAATTCATACTGAATGACCCATAGGGGGATCTACCGGTACCATCAAGAGGTTCTAGTGCATTTCTACACATATGTACGTAACAACAATACCTGAAGACAGTACTAATATCACTATGCCAAACAGTTGCCCAAAAGAAATTATTTCACTAATGGTTCTCTTTGAATATACTGTTCAAGCAGTAAAGCTGTTCAAGAAGATTAGTCATTCAATAAATAACCACCGTGATGATACATCCTGCACTCTATCAGTCAGTACTTGTGTACATGTATCTGTTTCCTTACAGCAAAGGGGATCCTGAACAGATCATCAGACGGTACGATGAAACAAAAAGAAGCTACATAAAGATCAAGAAAGAACTGACAATGTTTCGGAAATTCATTGAGGTACAAATGCAGTCACATGCAGTTTTTGTTTGCAAAAAAAATACATCTCTAGGATTGATAAAGGCTTCTAATTGTCCAAACATCCAAAGACAGAGGTGTAGAAAAATGAAGAATTTGTGGGGTTTGTTTGTTTGTTTTTGTTGGAGGGGGCATTTTTTTTGGGGGGGGGGGAGTTGGGGTTGGTCTGTTTTTTTCTTCGTTATAACTATCAAGCTTATCCCAAAGGTATCGAATGTGTCTGTTTTTGAGAGGGGGATTACAAGCATTATCTTGAGGGGGAATTTTTGCGTTTTTGGTAGACGTTGACTTTGTATTAAAATGTGACCTTTTTGAGAAAAAAAGGCACAATCATCCCCAGCCTACCCCGGATATGGATGTCTAACATTCAGTTTGGCTCATTTAAGGAATATGTGGCATAGAATCACCAGTAAGACAGAACAGTACAAATGCTCTCATGTCATCTCCCCTATTCCTTCCCTCTCTGCCTCTGCAGAGGAGGAAGGAATACGGAAGACGATATAAGGAACACGGGAGACGATACCCTTTCATGGTCAAGCTAAAGAAATATTGTACATCATAAATCAATCAATAAACTTGAGGCTGGCAAAGAGAACATGTTGAAAAGTACTGCTTTGAAGGAAACATTACAGTTCAAATCCTACTTTGAATTTGCACCAAGAAAAGAGTAATCGACTGCATTTTTTAGAACACGTTGGAAATATAGGTTCTTGTTATATCAAATGAAAATTACGTTTTGTTTTCCTACAGAAACTTGACAAACTTCTTGAATTGCGTAAAAGTACGTTCCTGGTTGTACGTCGACACATTGCATTACGCACCAAGTTCTTCTTCATCATGACTCTCTCCAAGAGAGGCTACAATGGCAAGATTACTTTCAATCATCGAGATGGTGAACTTCATATCACTGTAAGAGTTGCAGCTTGATTGTAACCTATATTTAAAATTACAAATTAGCAGTTTTAAATTTTCCCTTCAAAGTGTAATACCTTCCTTTCAAGTGCAGACATTGAATTTATGACTGAAGAAAAAACATTAACATTTGTGAAAAGATATGGCTAATAATACCTCAAAACTTGCAAGTAATTGGTTTTTTTTGCTGTGTGAATTTTTGATTTCCTGCAACATTTTTGCCCTTCACCGACATATAAACACTTTTTAATCAGTGTGTTACCTCCAGACTTAAATTTGGAACAAAATCACTCGGGTGGGACTCGAACCCACGACCTCCTGCTTTCTACTGCATATATCTTACTACTCAACCACCGAGCTCTCGGGATCGGTTGGCTGGTTCGAATCAGATGTACAAGCAGCGGGTACCGCAATGAAACTATTCATAAGATGAATCCAACCGATCCCGCAAGCTCGGTGGTCAAGTGGTTAGACGTCTGCACTAGAGGTAACACACTGACTATACATTGTTTAACGTCGGTGAAGGGCAAAAACCTAATATTGATTTACATCACCCCGACGCATAGTCATCTTATGAATTGTGCAACATTCTTGAAAGGAATTTGAGAATAATTGGATACATGATTTTGTATGGTGTGTGTATGCACATGTAGGTCCAGCCTACTCAAGGAGATGGGATGGGATCTCAAGACATGAAGTCACTCTCAGGAGGAGAACGCTCCTTTTCTACTGTGTGTTTCATCATGGCTTTGTGGGAGAGTATGGAGACACCCTTCAGAGCCTTGGATGAGTTCGATGTCTTCATGGTGAGTCTTCAGTTTAAACAAACTGTTTTGTAATTATTGTTAATGATTTTCCCTCCCGTTTTTCCATTAAAAATTTAATTAATTTAAACCTTAAATTGTTCTAAGGACTTTGTACTCACTGGTAACAAAGAGATTGTTGGACTCTTGGCCGCCCTATACCAGGCACCCATTTGAAATGCTAAGGTGTGCACTTCCAGATGAATAATATCCTCTCTGTGCTTCATTCCACATGGATGTGCAATCATTGCATGCAGGGAGCTTGCCCCACACTGATGAAAGATTGCGTAAGTGGTTGCGTAAGCCGTTGCAAAGTATTGTGCCATTGCTGAGCTCAGATGATTCTGGATGAGTTTGATATAACTGAATGATGGCTCTGTGGTGGTTGATAAGTTTGGCGCAAGGAGTGTGGCATGGTTGGAGTTGAATCAGTTAAGACAAGGCTTTGACTCACCTGCTGTGAGGGGGGAGGCGGCTTTGCCACCTCTATCTCGTCCGCTTCATGGTCGAGCAACTCGTGAACACACATACAAACACATACACCCCTTCTTCTTTATAGTATAGCAGTGATATGCATTGCCCAGTTTGTTGACAATTGCAGACTTGATTATGTCACGTGTTGGGCACAAGATATAACCTGTAGTTTCAGAAAACCATAGATCTCTAGTGCCGAGGTTGTGTTTTTGACTAAGGTATGCTCAGAAATATTTGCATAGTTGTTCAGGGTGACTTGTGTTCACCAGCGCATTGGTATCAATTCAAATTAGGGTGTAAAAAGGTCCGAAAAGTGGAACAGACTTTTACTAAAAGTGGCAAAACAGTTGTTCACTTGCTCCATTACAGTAGCGTATTGAGATGGGGTCATCTACTGCACACTGTCTGGGCATTCTCTTCATTCTACCCATTGGAGTAAACTTTCGGGGGATGCCATTTTCATTTTGTATTCTGATTATATCTGGCCATTGAGACTTTTCCAAATAAATTCCACAGCAGTCAAATTCCAGAGTTCATTTCCTACGGAATGCATGGGACTGGTACCAGTTGTTGCAATGGTCATAGGTATTGCTTGGGCACAATATATGTATTGCTTGGGCACAATTGCCTTTTTTATCATAAAAAAGTTTTGTCTCTTTCAGAACGATCTCTCTTTCAGAAAAAGGTTTTAGGTAATAAAACCTAACGTTAAAACCATACAACCAGAACTAGGAATACAGCATACATGTGAATGTAAATGCTTGGTGTGTATATGTTGGAATAGTAAAGATTTGTTCCAATAGGTCCATTAAACAGCAACAACTTGAGTTTTAGTACCTTAAACGACACTTCTTTTTTTTCTCAGGATCTTGTAATTCAAAGGATTTAGGGAAATAGTCATACTGTTTTATATGTTATCGTTCTAATAAACCATTCAAATAAGCTTGTCATTTCATTTACACTTAGGATATGGTGAATCGTAGAATCAGCATGGATCTGATGCTTGCCGTTGCTAAGGAACAGCGCATGAGGCAGTTTATCTTCCTGACCCCCCTGGATATGAGGTTTGTTCATGTTGTTATCAATGCTTGTAACTTTACATCGGGATTAAATTCATTTTAACAAGTTTGGCACTTCTCCAACATACATCTTGTAAGCACATTATGCTGTGTGCATTTTGGAAGCCCATGAAAACATTTTCATATGTGTTGCTGGGGTTTGCTTTGCAGTTTAAGTCCAATATTTGCAAAATACTTGAAGTACTTCAGCAAGGGCCCATGGTCCATTGTGCAGATTCAAACGTGTATTCTAGAATACTTCTGATGACCAACTGATCAGGGTACTCCCCAAATCATTGCATAACAATGTGATGTTACGTATTGAATTTCACAGCAAGATTTCTGCTAGTCATCTTGTGCGAATCTCACGTATGCCTGACCCTATCTGTGATGGACAGAGTGTCTTACCATTTGAGCCTGTCAACCGTAGAAGTGATGCAGATGAGGAGAATGCATAGGATAGCAGGTAGAAATCAAAGACCACATATTCACGCATGCCAGGTTGCCATCAAGTATTGAGTTTCTTGCCATGTTGTAAACAGAACAAGTGCTGGGGGACATCTTCACCTCATTTAAAGATCATTGCACTACTATGTTTAGTAGCATTAATTATAAAACAGACACGTTCACTACTCTTGTGGTTTAAATACTAACTCAGAAAAAGAGTTGGTACATGTTGGGAGGGCGTGGGCCACGTTCTGCCTACCCCCCCCCCCCTTTCCGAATCTGCTGTTGAAAAAGTGCCTTAAGATATGAAGTTGTACTGTTTTCATTTAAATATTAAGTAAAAGTGTACTCGGTTTCACCTTTAATGTTTGCCAAATCGCTTTACAGTGAAATCTCGATAAGTCACACTCTGATAACTTAAAACAACTGTTAAGTCAAACAAAGAATTCATTGCCTTCAGTAGTATAACAATGATACAACCCTGCTAAACTCAAAACTCTACTTAAGTCAAATTTTGAACCTGTTCCCTGGAGGTTTGACTTATCAAGATTTCACGGTTTTTACAATTGAGAATTCTATTTTTAACAAGTTACTCCAATTTAAAATGTAAAATGCACGGTACCAGTACTTATAGGAAATATTCCTTTATCATAATTTCTCCAAAACAAATGCCCATTACACAAGCCAAAAAGGTGTATCAGAAGTAATGTAAACAGGTCATATAACTGACATAAAATTAATAAAGATGTACAGATTACCCTCCATATGGGTCTTTCCACACCACTGGGGTAGAATTGAATGCAGATTGGAGGTTTGAGAGAGGGACATCGAAGGTAAAACAAAGCAAGATATTTTGTTCAGTTTTTCCCTTTCATTCGTACGGCCTTAATGATCATGTAAAAATGTAGAGGATTGTCGTGTTCTACAGAAATTACAGGGGTCATTGTATATCATTACTTAAGTAACATGACAGAATTGTCGCTATAAATTGAGAGGACGTTAGTTATGTGCATGATTTTACCCAAATATTGTCTCATTTATATTCATAGCCCATTTAGGATTGCTAACAGCCACAATAAACACAATTTTCTTGGTCTTTTTAAAGACGTTTATATGTAACGTATGTAACATGGACAGAAATCTTGTGACAAATTTTGGTCCCTGTTACGTACGTAATATTTGAACTTACCCAGTGACGCCTTACAGTAGATTGTCTTGGTTTATATGGGAAAGATGATAAGAACAAATAGGCACACTTTTGGGTAAATACATGTACATTTATTGTATTTCTAACTTTCTATCAATATCAACAAACTTTCTGTCCACATTACGTACATAACAATCCAAGCATGTACATCTTGTAAAATCTGCCAGGAAAGTAAGTCTTATATTCTTTGTGAGCACAATCCTCAAAAATGGGGTGGGAATGTACAAGGGGAATAGAGGACAAACAACTTGATATTGTTATCCTGCTTCATTTCCCATTCCCATGTCACACGTTTGTACTCCTTTAGTGTGACCCACATTTGTTTTAGTTTTACATGTATTAGCACAAATGAGGAGAATTGTTTCAAAGAGTTAGGTATGGATTACATTGTCAGAGAAGATTTGACCTGCTGTTTAGCAAGTGTGAACTGACTTGTACAAAGGGCAGTTGGATTGTCAGTTTCGTTTTGTTTTTCATTTGAGCACATCTCTGTTCTAGACCATTATCATGTTGCGGCCATTTTGGGTTTTTTTCCCATTAAAATCAACGTAACCAAAGCGAGACTGGAAGGAAAAACAGTTTGGTTCCTTTTTGCCCAAAAAAATGTATCATTCAGTACTGTTATTGGATACAGGGAACATGACTGAAATGGTGGCACCATGATAAAGGTCTATTGCCTAACTCATTCACATCATACCAGTTCACTAAGAAATATATTTGTGCATGTGCATAAGCTATTTTGGAAGGCAATAAGGACAAGCAGTGCATTGATAATGCATGGTAGTATGAACCTTATGGTCATATTTCTCAAAATCAATTGGTGTGTTTACTGTTCGAAGCTTAAAAACCACTTAAGTCAAAGTAGTATTCATACGGTATGGCCAAGCTTAATGAAGAGAGGGACAAAATACAGGATAAAGGATGGAAAAGTTGTATTTGTTATCTGACTGTTGCTGGTATTTACCACGGTGTGATAGTAACTCATCAGCAGGTTGACATGGTGCTAACCTTGATGTACATGGAGTTATAGTGAGTTATCTATCACCAGCTGCAAGATATATTTTTTATTTCTCATGGCCCCTCTATTTTCTGTAACAAGGAAACAAAGCATGTCAATCGTTTTGTCTTTAACGTTTATTTTGTCTCTCAACTAGCCGTTTTGGCTGTACATGTACTTGGATACTTCTAATGATCAAAACGCAACATCAGTACATGAGCGTTTCATTTTGCTCTGTGCAAACAACGCAAACGCGTGCGCGTATCCACTGCAGATGATTTTTACCGTGACGTTATTTAACCGTCATGCATGGCGCGCTTAAGTTGTTTGCATACATTGTACTTGGGCGTAGCATTTAGAGTGCACTTTCAAAATTCACTCCATCTAATTTCATACATGTTCTATCAGCTTTGTTCTACAAACTATCATCTATGATCTACAGTTAAACACACACATGAATTCAAAATGTCCCAGGACGGCTTCCAAGTATATCCGCGTATAAGAATGAGGAGTTAGCGCTCTAGTAATTTAATATAGCTCTATGGTATCCACACACTATAAAAAAGGATGTCAACTACAACATTACTCTTTACACTAACATTGCGCGCTTTTCAAGTTTAATATAAGTTAGTATTTTTTCTTCTTCTATGTGTTATATTTGATATTGGGAGAGATTTTTCATGTTTTGTATTACATGATAAATTTTGAGACCCAGAGTGGCGTCGTTATTTTGTAGTGTGTCGCCTTATTTATCAAGTAATGTATCAGATAATATTTTATGTCCATTTACTCTATGTTAAGTTTGAAAATATTTGTAGTCACGTTTTTACCCATATTCTCAAAATATAAAAAACATAAATATGGACACAAAAGTGTGACATTTTAAAGTTATCTCAGTTGATCTTGTTAAAAATCAAATTAAAAAAATCATCAAATTAGGTTTTGCCCTTCACCGACGTTTTTTAAACACTGTATACTCAGTGTGTTACCTCCCGAGTGAAAGTTGGAAAAAATCACTCGGGAGGTAACACACTGAGTATACAGTGTTTAAAAAACGTCGGTGAAGGGCAAAACCTAATTTGATTTATATCACCCCGACGCAAAATTCCATCTTATAATAAAAAAATCATAATAACCATTTTGGTGAACCGCTTAAACAAATCTTACTATTGAATGCATGTAACTAGTGGTGTCCCTATTTGTTACATACATTTACACAATCAGCTGTCCATAAAAGTCTGGGTTTTTTTTCTTTTCTTTTTCTTTTTAATAGAACATGGTTCAGGTGAAAAAAAGTATTGCTTCCCGTTTTGATCAATATAAACAATGAATACTTTAGAAATTTACAGTTCTGTGTTTGTGTCCACTTTGTTACAAGGGTAGAACACGCCGGACATGTCAAATTGTTTTGCTGGATCAGGAACCAATGTACACACACAAAATCACGCAGTCTTGTTCCAGGGACCGAAGACACTGTGGGGACAGCAGAAAGTCCCCATAACTCGGTCCTAATTTCCATAACAATAAAAACTTCCCTATAACACAGTGACGATCCACCTACCCCCTTGTGTATGTGTACGGTCCACATAATAATTGGTTTTCCATGATATTGACTCTATAAAGGTCATAACCTCTGTTGTGTCCAACGTTGCGACGATGGTTAGGCCAACAAAATAATAGTTCTGCTTCTGGTTACCCTACCTACCCTATTTTGACACTCGCTACCCTAATTGTTTTTTTTGGGGGGGGGGGAATGAGGGGAAACCCCGAAAATCATCAGTTACTACCTTTTACCCTTTACTACATGCAGACACTTCCATATGATCATAAACAAAAAAATGCCAACAAAAATTGTTTTCCCTACCTACCTACCCACCCAATTTTCAAATGCTATGTAATCGGAAGCAGAAGTATTTTTTTTGGCCTTGTGAATGTGAAACGTGAAATTGTCCAAATTGTGATGTAATATTTAGCCATCCAGCATTCATTTTTATCAATATCACAAGGCAAGATTATTTTATCAGTATATCACATTTTAATAATAAACATGGTACATATAGGTCATCAATTTTATTCAGTGTCCTGAATCCAGATATTAAACAAACCACAGATATTGATGTAACATACATTATCATATAATGATATTAACTTATTAAATTTGCATTAATAATGCAAATTTGTTAATTACCTATTGGGAAGCTTTTGAGCACATTATAGACAGAACAGATGAGTTGGAGCATACCACACTTTCCCAGTCTTGGTGTCCTTGTTACAAATGTTAAATAATAGCATTCAATAAAGTTTTCACATCAAAATTTGACATGTATGAGCATGGGTGAATGGTGTAGTGTTTGTGAACAAAGTTTCCAGTTGACACTTGTGTGCCCCACCCAATTAATTCCTTTTGTGTTTCTCCTCCCAACCCGACATGCTTGTGAGTCCCTACGTGTTTGTTTCTTGTACCTCCGTCATTTGGCCTCTGAAGAAGAACTCAAGTTCGCAAAGTCAGTCCGCATTAATTTTTTAGATTTATATATTTCAGGTCAATCCAGTCAGAAAGCAGTTTGCAGCAGTCCTATTCATTTTCATTTTGTACTATTAACGTATAGAACGATATCCTCACTACCTGCTCACACTACTCAAAAAGTAAAAACAGGAGAATCTTGTTTGCATTTCTTCTGCGCAGAGTAAGACATGCACCTACATGATAAGAAGTGGGAAAAGGTTACCCATTCTGTGAAACCAGACACCATGAGGGCGCCATGTTACATGCATTACACGTAAAATGCAAATGCAAAAGTTTACTGTTGAGAATGTGAAGTTCCATATTGCAGACTATCTGTGTCTTCACAGTGACTTCTATTTGGATCAAATAATTAAATAAAGGTCAATGTGTAACTACACATTGACCTTTCTTTAATTGCTGGGCGTTGCGAGAGGGGGCAAGGGGGCGCTTGCCCCCTTCTAAAAAAGCAACAAAAAAAAGACGCGCGAAGTGTCATTGCTGTTAATTTAATGGGGGGGGGGGGGGCAAATGTCTCTTCCCGCCCTTGAAAAATGATGAATCGAGAATATGCTGGAAAAGTACAGGGATTTCAGGGGGGGAATGTGCTTTGCCCCCCCCCCCTAGAAAAAAATCCTGGCGACACCCATGGTGGTGTTCTTGGAAGTTCTTCATTTTTTACCATGTGCATCACACTTTCTTCAGTGAGTATCTCATACAGACACATAATACATGCCAGTTTTCTGCACAATTTCAAATTGATGTGTTGTACAACATGCTTGGTTTACATATTATCTTAATTGTCAACTTTTTCATGTAACTTTTATGTGTAAAATGTTTTGTGCCATGTTTGGTCTTTCATTGGCAGATATCCATAGGGGAAAAACATAGGACCCCAAAAAGAGATGCATTCTTTTGTCCCTAAATTCTCTCAAATTTGCCCAGAATGCAGGAGAAAGCCCCAAGAACCCCTCTATGTACCATGTTCCTATGGCACCAGCCACAACCATCTCCCCCACTACCCTAGATCATGTGGATCCATCCTTGTCAACTCCCTAAATTTCTATGTAAAAAAATATTTTATCTTACCTTGTGCTCAATAAATAAAGAGAATCTTACCTCTATTCCTATTCGTAATAAAGAGGATGATTCATATTTTGAAAAGATATATCTGTTAGCAACCTTGCATATATTTGTGATGTACTGCAAGGAAAACAAACAGATTCCACTTAATAGGCTTATGAAGAAAGAAGGCTCATATTTTCCCCTTTGTTCCGTGGGTGGGTGGAGTGGCGTAAATCCATGTCGGTGAATGGGGAGTTGGGAGATGACCAAAAATCCCCTTGCTGTCGAAATTTGATTCTAATGCAAACTTTCGCGCTGACTTCCCTAAACCTTTCATCAAAATGGTGCATTTAAAATCTTTTTTTAGTGTTTCTTCTCCGCTTTTTTATACGGATTGAAACTGTTGGAAAGTTACAAGATAACCTCAAAATCAGTGTTTTTGTTTCTCATCACAAATATCTTATACATGGTATGTGCCTCTCGCGAGAAGTACTAAAAATCTAAAATGGAAATACTGGTACTGCGCGTTACGGACTCATTGGTAGTACATGTATTGTGCAAGCCTCAGTGAAGATTGTGAACATTCAACTGATAAAAGGGTAAAAGGGACCAGATTTCCTGGGAGTCCAAATATCATGCGACACCAAAAGCGTTTAAAACCAGCCAGCCGGTGTTTTATCAACCATTCAAGACTGGCCACATGACGGGCTCTTGACCAATAGGAATGGGCGAACTGTCTTAGGTATAAATATGAATGGACCTTAAATATAGATGCAATGTATGATGCGCCAAATTAAGCTAACTGTAAGTTCGCAGTAATGAATTCAAAATGTGTAGGACTGATGACAAGCATGGCAGGGATGTTGCTGGTATATACAACCATTATTTTAATTAGCACATTACTGATTTTGTAGGATGCACTTTATCAAGGTCTTGGGCCGGACCTCGTGTTGTTTTTGCTCAGCCATGCATAAATATAGGCCTGGTTATGCTTGAAATCCTACGTACTGCTCCACGATGTCACTGCTGCAGGATTTTGCAGGATTCAGGCAGTGGTCATCCCTCCACAGACCATACAGGGTGTATCAAAAAAAAGTATACACTTAGAGAAATGTATCAAAAAAGGATGTTTTATAATTTTTCAAAAATCTGTCACTAAATATTGATGGACCAATGTCTTACGCTTCAATTGCCACCATGTCAATCTTCAGCTGTTCCGCATGAGTGAACACTAGCTATTTACTTTCACCAGATTTCAATTGGCTTGCGCACAAAAGTGAAATGGTTAAAACATAAACACCGCGGTAGGGAAGTTTAGGCATGTGCTTTGTTGCTCACAAATTTTCAAGAAAATTGGATTAACCCTTAGTCCTCCACAGGCCCACCAAGTTTGGACTCAAGTTGCGCCTTCCTCAAAACATTAACAACAGCATGACCTTACAAGTCAATGATTAGGCCTAATGGTAATCGTCATGAGGGAATGCAACGTTTGCACTTCATGCATGCACGATTCAGTCTTCGACGTGGCCACCATTTCTTTACACACAGACTTCTGCCCTCCTCAGCATGTCATAAACGCACCTAATCACTGCGGCATCCTGCCTCACAACAGCAACCTCGGCAGTAACACGTTCTTGCAGGTCATCCAGGTCACTTGGTGGAGTGGTGTACACCTTAGACTTAACATGGCCTCACAAGAAAAAGTTCAGTTCATGTATGGGGTAAGATCTGGCGATCTTGGGGGCCACTCGACGGGCCGGTTTTAATGTGATGAAGCGATCGCCAAACAATTCAGTGAGACGTTCAGTCACGATCCTCCTCTTGTGCGGTGGTGCCCCATCTTGCGCCCACCAGGCACGCCTAAATTGTCCATTTCTTCTGCCAGGACGATAATGACGAAAATCATTGACATGCTGAGGAGGGCAGAAGTCTTTTGTTACGTACGTTGCTTTTGCATACAAACAGTACAATTGTTTCTGGACTTATCCAACAAACACACTCAAAGTGACAAACATAATGGTAGTATAACATCTGTTTCACTACATTGTTTTATTTGATTTGATTTGATTTTATGCAGACCAGCCTAACGTGAATCATGTTGGAAATGCTGGGTCAATACAGAAACATTCAAAACACAGCAAGTGACGAAATCAACTGCAGAATAAACCAAATATTGATCAAATGTGTTTTCGATTCATTGTTTACTGGTACATTTCTAGGGGTATTGTAATCACATGAAACAGAGAAACCAACAAACGTTACTGGTATGTAAATCTTTGGCATAAATCTTGTGAGGCTATTTGGATTTTTAAACAGGTATTTGGTGTGCAAGTGTATCCTTGTTGGGGTTTGCGGATTTAAATTTAAAAATCTACATCTACATGTGTTTAATCACAACACAACACTGATGTATAACCATCTGGTGTGATTAAAATGTGCAAGGGATAAGGGGTATACATATGTACTGTATAAGCATATAAAACCACTTTTGGGAACCACTTTTAATTCTTATTATAACCAAAACACAGCTGAAGATGTTCATGTGGACCGATAACGAATTCCTGACCTACATGTACAATAAACATATTGTAATATTTGGTATTAAGAAGAGATTGAGGTTGTTCAAAAATCTGCCAAAACGTGAACCAGTAAGACAAGCCAGGAAAGCCAACCAACCATCCCAGTCTACATGAATGGCTCAAACCTAAGACTGCAGGGCCAAATCCTATCCATGCATGCCATAAAAATGTAACATTTGGCTTCCTTTATGTATATGCAGCAAATAACGACCAAATAATGCCATTGGCCATCATTCATTTTACAAACCGGCACCTGCCACACGATCAGGCAGACAAGATACAGTAATCAGTGAAGACTTTGATTGTGAAGACCTTGAAGTTGGCTAACTTGTGCTGACATAAAAGGTCAGTGAATATACGCTCAGTAAGTAAACTTGTAAATCTACTCTGAATGTATCTTACATATATTCGAAAAGTAGTATAAACATTGCTCAAAACTTAAAGTGCTGAACCATTTCTACTGATGCTCAGGTGGTGGAGTATATTTGCCTTCTGCCATCTGCTTTTTCCTTTCCTTTAAGATTGTGTGGTATCTTGCCATCTGTTAAATAAAAAAAATATCAAACCCAACGAACAAATTGAAGAAATTATTTGATTTCACTTTACATATACATGTATTGAAGAGCCAAACACGCTACATTTATAAGCCAAGTCTCTAACGCATTGGAGGGGGGGGGGGTTAGATCTGTCCGTATACAGGCATGCAACTTGGAAGTAACATAAGAAGAGGAAACTCCTAACTTTACTAGACTTTGTACAGTGTTTTCAATTTTAATGGCATAAGTGTGAAGTGAAAACCAGGAAATCAGTTGATCCGGGAAAAATTTGCATGCCTGCGTATAGCTGCCCCACGCCTGTGGAATGGTCTTCCCATGAACATTTTGCTCTACATGAATAACATCGCTCAGCTCATTCAAAAGAAAATCGCTCTCACACCATAATACTTAACCACAGCATATTTTTTTACTCTTGCCAGATTGTAAATAGTGCACAATTTTTGTTTTTTTAATTATGTATTATAATTAAGGGAATACATGTGCTTGGTTGGTTTAAATATAAGTAGGCCGATGTTTAAAACTGGCTAGGGGCCTGGTGGAGGATTCAGCTCCGGCCAGTATCCGTGAACAGGCCCCAAGCCGGTTTTAAACGTACTTGTTTAAATCTGGCCAAGCACATATTTACATGTACATGTAGTTCCCATTCATAAATACCTTTTCAGTCAAAAAGTCAAAATACATGTAAATCAAAAATTAACAAATTTCCAACGATTTTGTTTGACAATTTTTCTTCATGTTTTGTGAAACATCCCTGTGGTCATGTCTATGGGGGGATGTCTCTATAGTCCGACATTCCATTGGTCCGATGTCCCATTGGTCCGATGTCCCATTGGTCCGACAACCCATTGGTCCAACGACCCATTGGTCCAACGACCCATTGTTCCAACGTCCCATTGGTCCGACGTCCCATTGGTCCAACATCCCATTGGTCCGACGCCCCATTGGTCCGACGTCCCATTGGTCCGACGTCCCATTGGTCCAACGTCCCATTGGTCCAACGTCCCATTGGTCCGAAGTCCCATTGGTCCGAAGTCCCATTGGTCTGACGTCCCATTGGTCCAACGTCCCATTGGTCCAACGTCCCATTGGTCCAACGACCCATTGATCCAACGTCCCATTGGTCCGACGTCCCAATGGTCCAACGTCCCAATGGTCCGACGTCCCAATGGTCCGACGTCCCATTGGTCCGACATCCCATTGGTCCGAAGTCCCATTGGTCCGACGTCCCATTGGTCCGACGCCCCATTGGTCCGACGTCCCATTGGTCCAACGTCCCATTGGTCCGACGTCCCATTGGTCCGACGCCCCATTGGTCCAACGTCCCATTGGTCCGACGTCCCATTGGTCCGACGCCCCATTGGTCCGACGTCCCATTGGTCCAACGTCCCATTGGTCCAACGTCCCATTGGTACGACGCCCCATTGGTCCGACGTCCCATTCAGGGTTAGGTTTAGGGTTAGGGTTAGTCAACCTGAACCATTGGAACTACACAGTATTATGTTTCATCTGACCAATCGGACGTCAGACCAATGGGACTTCGGACCATTGGGACGTTGGACCAATGAGACATCGGACCATTGGGATATCGGACCAATGGGACGTCGGACCATTGGGACGTCGGACCAATGGGACGTCGGACCATTGGGATGTTGGATCAATGGGACGTCGGACCATTGGGACGTCGGACCAATGGGACATCGGACCATTGGGACGTCGGACCAATGGGACGTCGTACCAATGGGATGTTGGATCAATGGGACGTCGGACCATTGGGACGTCAGACCAATGGGACGTCGGACCAATGGGACGTCGGACCAATGGGACGTCGGACCAATGGGACGTCGGACCAATGGGACGTCGGACCATTGGGACGTCGGACCAATGGGACGTCGGACCATTGGGACGTCGGACCAATGGGACGTCGGACCAATGGGACGTTGGATCAATGGGACGTTGGACCATTGGGACGTTGGACCAATGGGACGTCGGACCATTGGGACGTTGGATCAATGGGACGTCGGACCAATGGGACGTCGGACCAATGGGACGTCGGACCATTGGGACGTCGGACCAATGGGACGTCGGACCATTGGGACGTCGGACCAATGGGACGTCGGACCATTGGGACGTCGGACCAATGGGACGTCGGACCATTGGGACGTCGGACCAATGGGACGTCGGACCAATGGGACGTCGGACCAATGGGACGTCGGACCATTGGGACGTCGGACCATTGGGACGTCGGACCAATGGGACGTCGGACCAATGGGACGTCGGACCAATGGGACGTCGGACCAATGGGACGTCGGACCAATGGGACGTCGTACCAATGGGACGTCGGACCAATGGGACGTCGGATCAATGGGACGTCGGACCATTGGGACGTCGGACCAATGGGACGTCGGACCATTGGGACGTCGGACCAATGGGACGTTGGACCATTGGGACGTTGGACCAATGGGACGTCGTACCAATGGGACGTCGGATCAATGGGACGTCGGACCATTGGGACGTCGGACCAATGGGACGTTGGACCATTGGGACGTTGGACCAATGGGACGTCGGACCAATGGGACGTCGGACCAATGGGACGTCGGACCATTGGGACGTTGGACCAATGGGACGTCGTACCAATGGGACGTCGGATCAATGGGACGTCGGACCATTGGGACGTCGGACCAATGGGACGTCGGACCATTGGGACGTCGGACCAATGGGACGTTGGACCATTGGGACATCGGACCAATGGGACGTCGGACCATTGGGACGTCGGACCAATGGGACGTCGGACCAATGGGATGTTGGACCAATGGGCTGTCGGACCATTGGGACGTCGGACCAATGGGACGTCGGACCAATGGGACGTCGTACCAATGGGATGTTGGATCAATGGGACGTTGGACTATAGAGATGTAACCGTCTATAGTATGAGCCTCGCATGAGTAGTGCTACAGATCTCCTTGTATTGAGATTGGCACACAGCGCATACTGAGCGATATGGCACAGAATGCAGCAGTGTTTTACCAGCGGTTTAAAACCACCCACATGACAGGCTCTCAACCAATTATAAGTGAACTGTCTCGGGTATTTACGATTATATGCATTTAATTGTAGGCATGACTTAACTTTTCCAGTTATAAAGTATCGTCAGTCTTATATTTCTTTACCTTGAATAACAGCAACTGGTTATAAGGGGCCAGTTTTGATAGCCTTTGTGGAGCAAATGATTTTATTTGGCAAAAGCACACAGTAAGCGGGGGAATTGTAAAATACACATTGACTACATAAACCTTTAAAAAAATATGCAAAACTTAAGTCATGGACCAAACAAAATGGGATGTTATGGGAGGCAACACAAGAAAATATGTAAAAGCCATTACAATGGGAGACTTTGGAGACGTTGGTTGCAGCAAACACACTGGTCCTTTTTTCATTGTTTATGTCAAACTGAGCATGCGCGCATTAGCTTAAACATGACGTACACAATGGAAAAGGACCGGTGTGTTTGCTGCCACCACCGTCTCAAAAGTCTCCCATTGTGTTCCGATCACCTAAAAACAAAAACCCAGACAACAGTAAAAGACAGGAGGACTAAGGTTTACTTATCTACTGACGTACCTTCTTAGTACCCTGAGCACACTCCCAGAAGTCTTCCATCTCGACCTTGCACTCTTTCTTTGCTCGTTTCCAGCCCAGGCCATCAGCACACCGCAGCCAGTCTAATTCAAGATCAGCACATCTTGGTTTCTCTAAGACAGGTGATTCTGGATACTGTAGGCCAATGAACTGCTTATCCCAGTCTTGGACATGAAGGAATGGCATGGCTGTTCCTGCAGTATGGACATGATACACTGTCAGATAAATTTGTCATATTTTTAAAAAATTCAAAGCTTGCTTGGGCAAGGTTATGAATATGCATTGTACAGTTCATGACCTCGTGTTGCATCGGGCGCGCAGACCAGCAATTATAAACTCATTTTCGAGACGATATTTGTGGGAGCTGATGACTGATCATCGTTTTTTGGCCAGATGGATGAAGATTTCTAGATAAAGTCATTATCCGTCCGTACGGTATAATAATATCGGAGTCTTATATAGCGCACGTATCTACCAACAATTAGGCACTCAAGGTGCTGGAAATTATGTCTATTATTAAAGAAAGGGAAATAAAGTTTATGAGAAATACAAGACCTATTTATAAGCACCTTATAAGGGTTTACAAGGTGCTGCAGTGCATATTGCAGCCACTGCCAGAAACACTGGGGCAAACCCCTTCTCTTAGCGGTAAGTGTTAACGTGCATTACACAACACACGGGACCTACAGCCTACATCCCAATCGAAGGATGAAGCAATAATGGTAAAGTGCCTTGCTCAAGCACACAAGCACCATGTTCCCACAGTCGGGATTTGAATCCATGTACCACGGCATACGAGTCAACACCGTAACCATTGGACCACAGCACCCCAATTCGGCGGCATATCCTCGCCACGCGCTGACTGCAGATGGCTATGTTGCAGCAGTGCATGAAAATATACAGCGCCAACAGCGACCCCATGCAGCCACTATTTACATGTACATGTATATGCCAATCATTTGGATCTAGACGAACGCTTTGGTCCAATCGTCTATGTGAGGTTTTGGGAGTGGTGCTCATTATGTTATAAATAGCCAAAGCTGACCTTAAAAAGTCTAATTGGGCCAAGTTCGGGCAAGGACCATTAGTCTACTAGTGGTTGATTTGTGACGTACCTTACGCCTGCGCACTAATAGCAAAGTGCGAACGTCTCTAGTCGAACGCTGGTCAAAATGTCATTGCAAAACGTCTGGATCCTGGCTCCCTGCTGTACGTTATGAACGCGCGTGGCTATGGTTACCAGCGAAGCAACCAACCCCAGTAGGTTGGTTCCAAATAGTCGACTAGCGTAGTTAACCATCGTCGACTAGACAGAGTTCGGGCAAGCGTTAGTCGACCAATGGTTAACTATAGTCCTTGCGCGAACTTGCCCTAAGTTGATTGTTGCGTGGAAACTTGCATAATAGTTTGCGCACGGTGAAAGGTCATAATCGACAATGTGTGCACACACATTGTGTGTCTCACATTACACACAGCACCGATGCACAAAAAATGTGGTTTCTGGCACGTCCGCAAAAGGCGAATAGCTGCAAATAATTTGATGACGTCGGGATTTACCAAGGTGTGATTGGACATGCCACATATTAGCCCCGCCTAAACTTATCTATATTCGCATGTGAGGTCGTGTGCTAGAAATCTAGTGCAAAATAAAGAAAAACATAAGCTTTCGCCACCGATTGGACCAAGGTGTTTGATCGGATCCAAATGATTTGCATATATAATTAATGGCCGCATGAGGTTGCTATTCGTGCTGTATTTTTACATGCACTGCATAGCAAGGATATGCCGCTGCTCTAACTGTACGGACGGATAATGACGAACACTTGACCAAGGCTAGACACACTTGTGGTGCAATCTGAGGAAATTTTTGACCACTTAAACCTAACCGCCCTGAATCCTCCAAAATCCTTTTTGCAAATTGGAGGAATTTGCAGGATTGAGGTTACATGGCAAAAGTGCGTTGCTGATTTCGGAGTACGCACTGTGTCAAGGTCTTGGGCCGGACCTTGTGTTGTTTATGCTCAGCCGTGCATAAATTTAGTTCTTGATTATACTTGACATCCTCCGCACTGCTCCAGAATGTCACTGCCTCTGCCTCAGCCTATTGACAGACATAGCCGGAGGATTTTGCAGGATTCAGGCAGTGGTCATCCCTCCATGGACCATATTCAAGAAATAACGGAGGAATTTGCAGGATTGAGGCTATATGCTATTTTTCCATGAGGCCAATTGGAGGATTTTGCAGGATTGAGGCTACATCCTAGCAAAAAAGTTAGGGTTAATCATTTTTGGGGGCAAAAATATCATTTCAACATGTTAAGGCCATGAGAAAGAGTTTTGGATTTGCGTCCAACGACCGCACCTCCCCACAGCAACCGCACAAAAAAATTCATTATTTTGCAAAACTTTCACCATTTCAAAAAATACTATTCTCAATGACAAAAGACATCCAAAAACATAATTTTAATAGTTGCATAAAAATGAGATACTTAAGCATATTTCCACATGCTATATGGTGTATGCTGTACATGTGTTTGACAACCCCCTAGAGACCAAGGCCAGGCTGCAACTTCGCAATCGTCAATCCCGTCTGCATAGCGCTAGCGCAGTACACATCACGTGTATAGTGCGTCCTGTGTGCCGGTGTCATATGAAAATCCTACCCCGGTGAAAACTGGACTTCTTTTCCCTATCCGCTCTGTTCACAAGTACCCCCTCATCGGTAAACCAAGTACAGTTGGGGGTGACCGACCGACGCCATCTTGCCTGACTGCAATTCATTTGCCGTGAAGCGCGGCCACTGCGTGTACATAGTACAAACTCCCTGGTGTACGTGCGTCACACACAAGGAACGGTGCGTGTCAACCAGCGAAATGTCCCGCCCATGGGACGTCGTTGCTAGGTAAAAGGGCGCCCTCTTTGTCAGCGCACGGAGCCCATTATTGGTTAATCCCTTGCACTTGACCAGTCACTCTCCTAATATTATCATAGGGTCTACTTACACATGCACAATTCTACCGAGTCCATGGAGTCGGATATTCATGCTTTCACCTACATGCGCAGTTTTGTCCTCGAGTTTCCCCCATTCCATTCAGCATTTACCAAGCGCTGCTTCTATCGCTTGATCTGATTAGTCCAATGGAAACTTTCATCTCAAGAGTCAACTTCCACATATGCATTTCAGCACGCATTGTTCTCGATTTGTTTTCATGATAGAATTGAGTAGGCCTATTTCCAATTGATATTTTCACTTAATATTTTACTGATTTGCCTGAAACTGTGGATCACATTAAGAACATTTTGTAGCATGTTTAACATATATTTTTGTTTACAATGAACTATTTTTCAGGGATTAAATGGGATCCGATGGTGCTCTGCTATCCGTGCTGTTGTCGTGTCGGGCCCGCTGTCGTGTTCAAGAATCACGCCGCGTGGCGGCATTCACCACTGCCACGATTTAGAAGACGGTCAAGAAATGTATTTGTCACTAAAAGAGTGAAGGAAAGAATGCTGCAACCCGACGCCACATCAGCGGTTGTGTACAACTTCAATTCAATGGAGAGTCAAGACAATTTTTTGAAGCATTTCCTAACAAAATTGGAAATATTTCTCAGTGCCGGAATCATGTCTTATCATCATTTTTGCAATGACTGACCTTCATTGAGACGATGAAGAAAAAAAGCAGCGTCAGGTTGCAACATTCTTTCCAAAATGAGAAATGAAAAATAGCCTCCTGTCATCTGGCAAAATTTCGGACGCAAATCTAAACCTTTCACTCTCATGGCTTAAACATCATGTTCGAGTTTTATTTATTTATTTTGTAAGCGCGAGAAATACAATGTGGGCGTGAGAGCGTGAGAATAACCTGAAATGCCTAAGTCTCACACTCAATGCCACGTGAGAGTTGGCAGGCCTGAAAATATCATTTAGTAAAAGAAAGCTTGATCCGGCTAAATATCCACTGCCATTCAATTTACGCAGTAAGTACTGATTCATCGCCTGGAAGTAGCTGGAGGTACCTCATTCCAACATTTTATCATTGGGTTGTCATATAGGGCTGGAGGGAATCATCAACATGGACTAGCAGATATAACAATTGAATTCAAAAATGTGCCATTTTGTCCCCGTAACACACTAATTCCCCCTGGGACTCATCCAAACCTTGCCCGACATAACCACTGCACAGGTCCTTGAAGAAAATAACAATCCACGATGAAGATTTAGCCTACAATTGCAGTGAAAAAGGAGGCATTACCGACAGCTGATCAAGTTAGTGTTGCCGGCCAGAGCGGCAATTGGTTTGTGTACAAACAAAATTTGTGTACAAAGGAATGACAATGCGAGGTCAATTACCATGTAACAGTACATGTATCACTGCTGCAGTATGAGGTTTGTGCATTGACGCGGCAGCGGTACGACGACAGCCGAAGTTGGCCGACAAACATTCGTCAGGTGTGCTCTTGAGCGCCAGTTGGCAAGTGTGACTGGTGTGTGCACTGTGCATGGTAATCGACCACGCATTGCCATTCCTTTGTACACAAATTTTGTTTGTACACAAACCAATTAGGCCTACCGCTCTGGCCGGCGACACTTACTTGATCGGCAAATGCCTCCTTTTTCACTGCAATTGTAGGCTAAATCTTCATCCTGGATCATTATTTTCTTCAAGGACTTGTGTAGTGGTTACAATGTATGCCAGAGAAGGTTTGGGTGAGTCCAAGGGGGAATTAGGGCGATCGTGTATCTACGGGTCCGGATCCTATAGTAGGAAACAAAATCCACTTTTAAATTATTTGACCTACCAAACTAGTTGGCGGCATTAAGAACATACAGGTATATCATAGATAAATGAATTTTTTAAGGGAAATGTGGGGGTAAAATGAAGATGACAATGACAAAACGCAACACGAAAATAAAAATGGTGATTACCACGCGATGGAATGTGAGCATGCAAGCCGCGCTGCACACCACCAACTGGCCCGTAAACCGCATAGGAAAATCGTAATTTCTACTGTTAAAAAAAAGGTGTCTATTGAAAGAACTTGAAGTTGAAGTCTGCTTTAGGTTGACAATGTTATTTTTTTGTAATAAACATTTTTTTATATTAATTTGATCAAAACAAAAAAGGGGCCCTACAATACACGGTTCGCCGGAATTAGTGTGTTACGGTTACATTTTTATCTGCTAGTCCATC